ATAATATTACACATGGTATGATCTACAGTAGGTATGTATTATATTACTATATAAAGTATAACTACCTTGTTGTTGTAGTGTGCGTCATTGGAAAAACGATTAATTTTTTTGTATTTATGTTATTTACATGTCACACTTGATAATACTCCCACATAATTGGGTTTGGGGCCAGGGTTGATACTTTGCCAGTAGATTATATAAATGGGAGTATGTTTAAGACATAACGTCACAATTTACAAATACACTAAATAAACCCCCTACCAGTTTTAACTAATTTCACCAATTTTTTCGAACAGCTAACAAAATTTATTTTTGCCGCCTATATTTCATAACGATCATGGTTATAAGTTTCAAAATATTTCCGGCTAGGTTAGGTTTTGTCAATATGTGTGGTTGATGGCAGATATTTTCAAAGTTTCTACGTTTTTAGAATGAGAAATTATAATTTTTTCAACAAATATTTTGAGCCAGTTGTAAAATATAACTGATTATTTCTAAAAATTGTACTAGAGTACAGTATATTTTCTTTGACAATCAACCCAATTTTTAGTTTTCCATATTCTCTCGATTATTTTCTATTAGTTGTCAGTATTTTTAGTTTCGAAAAATTTTACATCTACACACACTTACTAGAGTTTAGTTTACTTAACTTAATGTTTGGAAGGAAAAACTACAATTTATTAATTATTTGGTTGTGATTTATTCAACCAAATTTATTTTCCGTATGCCCAATTTAGCATTTATTTTTTTATTAACATAAACAGTAAACCATATCGGTTCAACTTGTTATTCCATACCAAACTAAATAAATATTAATACGTTTACAATTCCTAATCGTTTACACTCTCAAATTGAGCCAAAAACACTTAACAAATTACTAGAAATCCGTTATACGACTTGGCACTTGTGGATAATTCCAATTTCAAAAATATTTTATAGGCGACAGACGAGTCATTACGCTTTCTTTTTGCCAAACAAGTAAACAACAAGTTATTAAAAGTTAATTACCAAAAAAAAAAGTCTTGAGCAATAAATCGTTTGGTTATTTTTACTCTAACAAAATGCTTAATTTTGACTAACAGTAGAAATAGAGTAATAGATTTCCTTGTCAGACAGTATCCGGTAACAACGTCACTTATGTTGCAATACTCTATAGACGTTTTAGGGTGGAACACTGTATGCAGGAACTATTTTATTACTATATGGATGCGTTTGTTAAATATAATCTAAATTTTGGCTAGAAATGTATTTTTTTTAATTTATTTTTTTAGTGGTTTTAAAATAGAATAATGTTTCTGTTTTTCATAACTATGTGGTCATCATAAGCTATCGTGTACGGTTATTTCTGAAATGTATATAAATAACTTAATAACTACATCATACATTTGGCATTTTTGTAAGATAAAGTGTAGGTAAAATTTTGTATTACCTAGTGGCATATTTTGGGGGGGTGTCCACGGTGTCTGGACGCCCTTGGCTAAAAAAAGTGTATTACATATGACAAATTTTTATTAAATTAATACAATTTTTGTTATAAATTTACCACTTATTTAACAATACAAAGACAAACCCATTCTATAGGTTTTATATAATTTTACATTAAAACTTTCAAAAATATATTTGTTTAAATTGTAATTGGCCTTGGCAGTCGGCACCAATGGTCATAAGCAAAATCTGTAGTTGTAGAGACTGACAATGTACTGCAAGAACTAAATAAAAAAAATACTTCTTGATTTTATAGTTTAATTTAATTTAGTTTTGTTAATAAAGAAAAATAGAATACAAAGAATATATTATAATCAAAATATATTGTGAGTAAAAATATTTTATTTATAAGTTTTTAGTGGTCGACATCTAAGGAGGGGGGGCTGGCATAGATTGAGGGGAAGGGTCTATACGAAAAATACGAATATAGAAATTACGGACACCGGATATTAAAAAAATGGACCCCCCCCAAATGTTGTTAAAATTACGCCACTGGTAATACATACTAACCTGATAAAAGTAATATTTCATAAATCAAAAAAATGTGAGAAAAACTACGCTACAAAAGTTATACTACCCACTATTGTTTAATGGTCTCTTTATTATAATGCAACATAAAAATAGGGTCGAAAATATTTGAGGGTAAAATGACAGGTGTGCGTGTAGAAATTGCAAGCAACTGTTATTAGAGGAGCCAAGGACTAAGTAGTTAATATATGTAATAGTGGTGAAGAACAAGACAAAGAAAAATATTGTTATTGGCAATGTAAGAAATGTATGCAATCGTGTTTGATTTTGTTTTTTAATATTGATAAATCTAAAGTGTTATTTATAAATTGATGGTTTTCTTTCTTGGGTAATTCACGAATGAATTAAAATGACAAAAAAATTATGTAGTTGACGGCCAACTGTAGCTCAATCAACTGGAATTCATGATTTCGTCGCCCACGCAATACCTATATCCCGCGGACTGACCCCTAAAGAGTACACGAGAAACAGTTATAGTTGAACACAATTGTAGCCTTTGTGATGTTATGGTGTTTGACGTTTTTGTGTTTTTCAAAATCAATATTACCGGGAAGCCAGCTGCTGCAGAAACCACTTATAGCTCGTGAGCGTTGCATGTATGGATCAACATCTGTTTTATTTGAATTTCCGCGATCAATGACAAACGCCACAGTGACGACGGTTCTCCTAATGATTTGTTTAAAACAATAATAAAATGGATCGGTAGAGGAGAAGTGCGAGGAGCGGATACGATCAGAGAATCTAATGGGCGCTGTCTCTTCCCCATATGGGTAACAAAAATAAAAGACAATCAGCGGTGCGCGGGGACTGTGAGGACAAGGTCAATTTGATCGTTGTCAAATCTTACACACATATGTACGCGATACAAGGTCATACCTCTACCTCCGACACTCCCCGGGCAAAGCGGCGCGGTCCGTGCCCGTTTTCACCGTGACGATTCCGCCGCCCGTTTTCGGCCTTACGTCATTATTGACGACGCCGCCGCTACAACGTACCTACAACACGCGGCGGATTCTCTTCTCCTTATTTGGAAGCGTGGTCACACAAACACACACACACGTCTAACCATATTAACGGATTTACCTCCGGCACTCTTTCAGTGATACTGTGTGCATAAAAACAAGGGAAATTGTCCTACTATGCACTATAAGGTACTATAATAAGTAAAATGATGATTGTAATTGTTGTCCTACTTTTTTTCCCCGGAAAAAAAATTCCCGTGGAAATTTTTATAGATTTTTCTGAGTTTTTTCTCGTTGAAACGCTTTTTGTTACCATTGTATTGTAGTATATATATTTAAGTGATCACTAATAAGTCTCTGATAACAATCTATTATTTTACTCGTACACTACAAACATCATAATATCATTGATTATAAATATTAGTATTTACTACTAAATACTAATACTAGTAAACATAAAAGTATTTATAATCGATGATATTATAATACATTTATGAATTGATTAATGGCGCTTAGGTTTGCTTCATACTATTAAAATTACATGGAATTATACAAATTAGCACCTCCAAAATTAGACCAAATTTAATTTGTTACATGTGTGAGTTTCACATCTTAAGTTATATAGAGAGCAGTTTTTTGTTATTATAGCCATGCCTTTTCTCTAAGCATTGAACAAAATAAGGTTAAAAGTAGTAGCGGATCATTTACACTTGAGATTAGTATAAGTAGGAAGGAAGTATTCAGCTCCTTATTCCATTAATCAAATCGACCAATAAGTAATCTGTTAAATAAAAATTATTCTTTACTAGCATAAGTATTTTAGCAATCTCTTTTATCTACAATCTACATACATAAACAGAGATCCGAGAGCAATAGGCATATGCAAGCTATTCCTTACCCGGCCTTAAAAAACCTCGTTTTAGCTAAAGAATCTTATTTTGTAGAAAAAAAGTTGCAATTTAATTTCATGGGATTAGCATAAATAAAACGAATATATCATTCTGATGTTATCTTTGTAGTTAATATATTATTAATGGATCTTCTTCATCTTCGCCTTACCTACACTCCCAACTACATGGGGTCGGCCAATATATTACTAATAGATCATTTAGAAAAAAATTAAGCAACATAAAATAAAGAATAAAATATCTAACACTAATCTAACCGCAAAAAAATACACTAGCGTATACGCGTATTTCAGTAGCAATACTCGTCAGCGGTCACAACAGACTAAGCTTACAATTAGTTTATTATTGAATGGATAATTATTACATTGTATCATAGTTTTGCGATTTTCTTCTTAAATATCAACCTACTAACTATTTATCGTACAAACAATTACTTATGCACTTAGGGGTTTCCAATTTTTAACACGGTCATGCAAACGACAAATTCTTAATGGTACCTACTACAATACTTTAAAAAAGGCGAGGTTTTTTTAATAGTACAAACGTGTCCGCCAAAGCCAAGGTCAAGTTTTACATTCTAAACTTCCAAATTTGGAAAACACATTTATATTAGCATAGAAATACGTCTTCCGGTCCATTTACCATATGGTGCTATCAAGACCAACTATATTATTTCGTTTAAAATGTCCGTTAAAATGTTTTAATTAAATCTAGTTAGAATTAATACTGTATACACGGTACAAGTATTTTAATTTCGAGATGGTTGTTTACTTAGGTATTGATCAATGAGAGATAAAAATGTAATTTATCATCTAATTATCAGTAAAATTTTCCAGCAGTCTGCATCATAATAATTTTGTTTAAACTGCTGGAGAACCCCTGGATGTATAATGTACACATATATAAATGTTATTTCCGAGGAGCAAAACTGGGCACACATTGAACATGTGTACTGCATCATAATCAAACAATAGATGTATATAAATTATGCAAATTTAAAACGTCTACTACTTGTCATAATTTATGTTACTAATGGACCGCGCAAGTACACTAATAATATACTATAGGATATATAGATAGTACTTGACACGCACTGCAATATTACATCGTCGTCATTTTTATTACAGTAGCGTTTACATTACCACTCATGTAGTTTTAATTCTCAAAATTTGTAAAATTATTTTAACCTACAATAAACAGCAGCAAAGGACTCAAAAATATTTAACCTAAATCACGTATAATATTCTATTTTACAACCGTGTATGTGTTACCTGTTGGATCGTATCCAAACCGTAAGATATACGAAGGATATTCGAACGGACAACCCCAAACCCACAAGTTGTAGACAAACGACGGAAAGGTACACTAATTATTATTTATCATTGTTCTTTGGACATACTGTTAGCCATATAGATACATCTTAGGTATATTTTAGTTTATTACCAGATGGGTGAACCATTATTACAGTATTTACAGTATTACAGAGCATTGATGGAAATCCTGGTCTGTTATTAAAACAATTTTTTCACTTTTATTTTTAAACAAAATATTTAAAACATTTTGAAAAAAATTACTATTTGCATATGTTTTTCGCAGTTTATTTACATAAATAATCATACTATTCTAGTATAACTTTATAATAATATCGCCGCTCCGGTAGAACAATGACACAACTGCAATAATTTAAATTTTACAGGAGAACCAAAAAACCAAATTATTTTTCACCAAAATGTTAATAATTCATGAATACACAATTAATTATTACAACTACAGTTACGTCGTTTTTCTACCTTATGCGTTCGCTATATCTAAACACATTGAAGCATTTAGTCCATTTTACCAAATGTTGCCGTTGTGTCATTGTTCTACCGAGGTGGCGATATGTAGGTAATTAATAATAACCGTAGTTTTAATAATCTTAATGAATGGATACAGTATTTCTAAAAATTTCTTTATTGTTAACATAAAATTTGAATAACAAATTAAGAATTTGTTAAAAGATAAAATTTGAGAGATTTATGTATAAAAAGGTAGTCCTCCAACATTTTAAATGGATTTCCTCTAAGACGAAGGTTCTCCCTCCTAAAGGAAAACATAAATTAAGTAAAATAATATCGAATAATATCGACGTGAAAAGAAATTTAAATAATTATATTTTACTGCAGATGCTATCAGTAAAATATTAAATGCGTCCAACTGAATTACATGCACAACTTGTGCTACAATTATTATGCCATTGGAAACTTTTCTGATATTGGTGTATAAATTGCGAGTTCTATAAATATGAATAAGTGTATTCAACTAATTTATACTTGTTGCAAAATAGGGAAGCCTAGCTGGCTCAAGGCCAAAAAACCTATTCATCCGCTATATTTCCACTAGTCAAGATGCGAACAAAAACCACGTGTCCGTTATAGATCACATCGACATCTGTAATCGTTACATATTATACAGTTTATTTTGTATTTATTAAATTAATTGTTATGACTCTAAAATTACAAGAATTCACATCGCTTAAAATTATTACTTTTAGTAAACTTAGCAATAGTTTGGAAAAAAAAATGGGGAAGATAGTGACTTAGATTTTTTGTTCTTAAACTAGTTAAACTAAATAATTATTTAAATACATTTGGTCAACCACTACTAAAAATAGGTTTTTTTTTTTAAATCAGTAAATATTAAAAAACTCACTATGAAGTAGGTCAATTAATACTGCGGTATTGGCTTAAGTACAAAAGTCGAAATGTTCTCAACAAATTTTGAAATTAGAACAATATTTACAAAAATGTGAACAACTTTTTGTTGAAAAATAAAAATCATAATTTTTTAAAAAAAGTATTTAAATTTAGTAAACTTAAATATTATACTAAAAAAAAATTGAAAACTTTATTGTAGCAATATTTTTTAAATATATAACAAAAAAAGGCAAATATATAAACATATTATACTTATAAAATATCGCAATAATAAATGTATGTAAAAAAACACAAAATTATCATAATATTATTTTATGCTAAGTGCCACTTTAACCTTATTTTTATTATAGATAAAATAATTTATATTATTATATTTTATAAATTATATTATTTAAAATATCTATAGCATTATAAATACTTGCACGTATGACGTATCTTTAAAACATTATTTAAGAAACGTGGGAATGCTAAGAATGTATTTTATTTTAGAATAACACAATACTGTTTTGTTGATGTTACAGGATACAGAAAAATGTATAGTCGACAAAATCAAGGCGAAGCAAGACTAGGTAAGCGGATTAACAACTGGAAATGAGATTAGTCACGTAATTAACAATATGTCGGTTAGTCACATTACCGATGTAGTTATAACCATATAAGTACACCTCGAAGCATTACTTTATCGTGTAATGAATATGGTACCTGTAGCGCCTTGCAGGATTCACTGAATTTTAGGAGGAAATTGAATTGGAATCTAGGCTAGTTGCAATACAAATCATTTCAAAACTATTGTCAAGCCATAAAAAATGTTAATTTTTAGTATATTTACGATAGCACTACATTCAAAAAGGCTATAGTTTTATTATTATTTTGTAGGTACCAATTGTCCAAGATTTGCAGACATATACAATTACATTACATACGTATACCTTTAAGAGTTTAATCCTACATCCTACATCTAAAAAAACGATAGTAGTGATCAATAGATGATTTTTTAATCTCAAAAACTTTCTTGCCTGTGCTATTTTTTATTATATGATTTCTTCTCAAAACAAACTAGAACAATATTATCCGGATCTAACTCTGACAAAATAAGAATAGATACATGCTCCCATAAGCCATAATGTGATATACCCGATAAACTGATTAACTGATATAAAGATATAGGAAAGATAATAAATAATAATAATGTATGCTATATTTTCAATTTACAATTTTTGTAACTTTTCAATTAAATTTATTTTACAATGCTTTTAGCCTCCTTCTATTTGTGCCAAATCACCCATCGATATCTTCGATCGTTCACGAATAACAATAATATTTAAAAATCAAAAACATACCCTGTAAAAATGAAGAATCGGTTTTTAATATTGGGTAATACTATTTTGTGGTTAGTAAGTACTCGAGGTCACGGTTAAAAACAAGAATAGGTTATTAAGTATATAATAAATAAATTGAAAATAATTTCTTTAGTTATCCTACTATAAAAATTTCATAATAATTAATATACTATGTCTTATATAGTATTAGTTCAAGCAGTTTAATTATGCTTTTATCACTTATTATGCAGTTTCATGCGTAGTTAAAAACATGTGTAGCCGTGTATTTATTTAAACGGAGTTGAAGTACTTTTAATCAAATACACTTGTATTCGTGTATTTATGTATATATTTACCTATATAAATTAGTAAAATTAATTTATATACCGTGTGCCGAAATAGTTCAAGTTCGAATTCGTTAACTCCGGATACACGTGTTAAATCGTGAGCTCTAGTTTCACTTCAAAGATATTGGACGGAAATGGAAAAGAAGATCGTTATGGCCTAACTTAGGCTAGGTATATGTAAAAATATACTTATAAATAAGTTTAAAAAAAATAAATCGTGTTTAATTTCCAAATGCTATTTTTGTTCCGTTACAGTTAGTTTGAACGTTGACACATTTCGGCTGTCTGGACCATAACAAACATACAGTAAAAATAGAAACTCCTGAATAAACATTTACATAATGCCGTTGCACCTTATTACTATTTTTCTTTCTATAATTTAAAAAATAAGACGGTGTACTAAAAGAACTATAACACAAAATTGTACAACATTTTATAGGACCTATAACCTATAACATACAGGTTATAAAACACGTCTCAATTGAGAGTTGGCCTTTTCTAAAGAACAATGTAGTTAAAACGTGAAAGTATATTTATACAAAATTAAAGATCAAGACTTTAGAATTTTTAGATAAAACCTTGTTTTTGGTATAGAGGTTTAAGGTATTCTTATGCTAAAACTGCCTAGTTACTTTGAAAAGTTGACATCCTGAGACTTACTATTGAGTAAACAATATCTAAGTAACTTCGTTATAATTATTAAAACCAATATTAAATATTAATTTTAATTTAAATATAAAATCAAAACTATTCATTTTATAATATTATTCTGATAATTTTTATACTTTTTTAAAATGAAATAAATAGATAAAATGTTTAGCCTAGGACTAGTCTTAAAACAGATAAAATATTTAAATGGTCAATTGTATGTCTACAACAACGTATAGATTGCAACAATTTATAGATAGGTATTATAATTTACTTCATAAAAACACGATTCAAATTTCAATGAGATACAATTTGACGTGGAATACCTCATTTTAAAAATGTTTAAGAACAACCACATAGTAAAATAAATAACCGCATTTATTAAGTTAAAAAGGGTAAAGGTGCCCAACTTCTACAATGTCGTTAAGGGCAGACTGCAGTTGCATACCCCGTGCGCACGTAAAGGGCTCTCATCATCGAATCCTCACTTAAATTTCGTCATGATTTGTAATTTTAAAAGGACTTTTTTACAAATATGTAGTAGCCATAAAAAAATTAACCGTTAAACAAATTGTAATACAATGTCGATTAACTGACTTCCAAAATATAAAATGTATATAAACCAATACGAAATTTCTTTTACCTACTCTTTGTCATTATTTTATCGATGACCTTACACTCAAAAGTAAATTGTAAATTGTAATTATATTGTTTTATGGTATTGTGGATATCTTCTTTATTCACATTTTTAGCTAGCGTTTCCTAAGGAGCAATATATATCTGTTTACAATACAGTGGCGCACACGGGATTTTTTAGGGGGCTGTGGGGGGGGGAGGGTAGACTTTTTTATCTATTAATTTCACGACAAGTTTATATTGTAAGCAAATGCACTAATTGTAAAAATATATCGATTTAAATAAAATATACTTATGTAACTCTTAGAATCTTTACTGGATGATTTGCAATCAACTCTACCTCGTAACAAAAACAATGGAATCGTTGGCAATACATCTTCGACGGGCTACAAAGAAGTGTCAAAGAGCACGTCTAGAACTGTAGGCAATGGTCGTACAGAAACTGACAAGGAATATGAAATCCAATATCTAAATCCTTCCAATAAATGCACAGTGCTCAACGAACGGCTTCCAGACCTCCAATCAGTAGATTTACTGGTTAGTATTCGTTTCATCACTGTTATTCTTGTATTTGTATTCTTTGATTTTTTTTTTCTTTTCTTTTATTATTTATATTCTTGTATTTTGAATATTAATTTGAAAACAAATCTATTTATTTGTGTAGAGGCAGGCTAACGCGGCCGGAGGGAAGAACGCTGGTTACGAAACGGTGTCGTCGTACGAATATAAAAAATCTACAGAGAGTGAGTCAAGTCCGTGTCACTTCGTCTCGATGCTTTGAAGACTAACGAGTTTTATCTTGAAATTTTAGCTAAAGGTTCAATGCCCAAACACGAAATAAACGGTGGTATAAACTTGAAGCACAACATATCTGAGTTGGACTCTTTGCTAGACGATTTAAATCATTCACAGAGAACGGGATTTTCAAACAAAGGCGTGCCCAGACATGAAATTTCGACCAATGAGTCGACCATGTATGACCAAAATCGGAATATTATGCTATTACTGATCACTCTAATTACAACATTAATTAATATTGACACGTTTTTAGCGAACCTTTGATGAGCAGTACGCCCTACAAACAGTACAGTAGTAAACACGAAGAGCACAGGTACGGCAGTGTGAACAAGGTTCCGGTCACCAACGAAGTTATTTCTACCTACGAGAGTTCAACATCTAACGGCCAACCATTAGGTTAGTAGTATACATTTCAATGGGATACTAGCAGGTATTGGTTTTGCGTTATGTATTTAGGCGTCTAATTATATTTATTTGTAGGTATAGACATTACCGATGCTCCTCGAAGTTACTCTCAATTGCTGCAGAATCAGGGACCGGGTACATACCAAACTTCCATGTACGCCAAAGAGACAACAAAAAAGGTCATCCCCGGCACCACGACGTATTCCACATATCAACCGTACAATCCACCAACTATTGAACCGGCCCAGTCTAAGGTGTACAATTACTCGGAAGAGTACCGTTCTGAGAGCCAAAACCGCTCGTTCAGGGATGTCCCACGATCTCCCGGTACGCAAAGAGCGGGCTCTCCACGTTCGCCATCGCCTCACCGTTCCCCATCACCGGTGACTTTTGCCCAGCCCCCCGAGCCCAAAAGCTATTCCAGTGTAAACAAATACACTTCCAAGACCGTGTCACCGATTCCTGTGCAAAAGTTTAGCCCATCCGATCCGAGCAGGACCAAGTGAGTTTCATTATACAGTATTAATACACATATACCATTTAATGTCGAGGAATAGTAATGAGTGTGTGTATGTCGCAGCGAAGAGGTCACTTGGGTCGCTCATGCCACGCCCCCTGTAACCCGTCGTTTCCCCGTGAGGTCAGTAAGTGTTTTGTAAGAGGTTTGTTGTGATCGTACGTGAAGGTGTACCTTATGAATTATGATATATACACCCATTTTCACCAAAGTTTGTTACACGATCCATACGTATATTGACCATATGTGTGTTAAGATTTAACAATACTTGGTGAAATTGGACGACAGTATTTTTGAACTAAGGGAATGGAACATTAAATTAAATTATGTTCTATTCAAATTATTTTATTTAGTTTTAATTAGATTACAACTATTATTGTTATTAAGAGGACGCTATACATATACTGCACATTTCTTTAAGGAGTAAAGTATATTCAATTTTTCGCAAAATCTTAATTTAGAGCTGGGTCATTCCACACGAAATCATCTAATGTGTGTGCGACTATAGCTCAAAAATGTTATCATACATTCTTTATAGATCCTTAATGACAAAACATTTTTTTTTTTGGACCTAGGTAGTTTGATTTTTAAAAATTTATTTAAAAACACCTCGTGTTCCCGGCCTTGTAATTTAAACGCCGATAGTGGTATCAACATGAAACTTGCACAGTTAAAACAGAATTTATTAGTGAAAAAATTAAAAGAAATATATTTCGTTATAATTTTATTAGTTTTCATCATTTAAATTTAGTAATAAAATTACATGATAGTAAAATATATAATACTTATTATTATACATATAAAATAATTTTTGCACAAATTGGTGGTTATGTATAAAAACTGAATACTTTTAATGTTTGATTCACAAAATTCACATAAGTATTTTTTTGGGGGTAAGAATTTAATTATTTGATATTCTTTGCAAACAGGTCTTTAAAACTACTGATCGTTAAAATTACCTGCTACTCATCAACAGCATTATTTCATTCCCGAAATTGGGAAAACTCTTGAGATTGAGTGATTTCATGTGGAATGACCCAGCTTGAACTATGGCTTATACTTGTTTAATACAGTAATGAGGACTCTTTATTGATTGCCATTTTTTTGTCAGACTATATGACTATATCACAGTCATTTCTGTAGGATAAATAAAAAAAATTTCTCATCAAAACTCCTTTGCGCGGGACAAATATGTGAGGCGAGTATTAAAAATATAGATTAACCAAATTTTCAAAATGTATCGAGAAGAATTTTTCTATGCCTTAACGTTTTTATTTTTTTGATATCTGTACTTAATATTTTTTTATATACAAATAAAAAAAATGAATTATTACGAATGATTAATTTTGATCGAGTTTTAGTTATAAAAAAAACTAAAAACGGTACGGCATTAGGTATAAAGTTTTTCGCTATCCAGTGTAAAAATTATATACAGTTACAGTAAATACCGCCCTCACATACTTGTCCCCCGGCAAAGCCATTTTTCGCGGATGAATTACGGGTGTGTTGCGTCCTTTTAACACTGTTTAAATTGTATATTTGTTGAACGTGACGTTTTTACAGTGTGGATAACACAATTAATACGCCGCCAGCCGGTCAGCAGACTGTTTATTCATACAAGTATTCTAGCGAGACCAGACAGAACACTAAGTACGGTACGCCCAACGGATACACGGCTCCTGTTCACCAAGAACAATTACCGTTGAGACAGTCGCCGTTCCCCAGGGAGGAGATAGACTCCCCTCCGGAACAGCAGAAGCCTCCTAGGAAATTGGACGACCTAATGGCATCGTTTGGAGACAAAAGTGATTACTATCGTAGCGAGCGAGAGTACCAATCTAATCAAACAAAGTCCAGGGATAATGACCGAGGTAGGACCACTGAATACACCGTTCCGATAAATAGGTCGGAACCCGACGCTGCTCCCAAAGCTCCAGAGTTAAAAGAAGTCAAGGAAACCGAAGTCACTTCATCGGTGGCAGGACCTGCTGTTTATTACCCACCAGGATCGACGACATTTGTAAAGAAGGAAGAACAAATGCAACAGGTATGAATACTGACTATTCCACACGTTTTAATATTAAATACAAATTTTGTATGTTTTATTTGAATACGCTACTTTGTTGAGCAGGGACAATTGGGTCGTGCGCAGATGAAGGCCAAAGGCAAAGGGATGTATAAATATAAAAGTAAAAGTAAAGGCAAGGAAAAACACAGCTCTGGAGCTACTATGGTTCCATGTTGCTTACCTATGTGCTGTGCTATGCCGTGTGTTATTATGTAAACAAATGACACTGTAATATAACTGTTAATTTTATTGCCATACAAATTAACAAGAAGGGAGGATTTTAATGTTTCGCATTAATTTTTGATAGGCTATTGTATAAAATATAAAAGAAACGTTTTCTTTTTTAATATCAAAATCCCACTTTTTATTTTCAAAAAGTTTTAAAGTGAATATATAAAACTAAGTAATAATAATTAATTAAAAACAAAAAAAAGTATACTTTAAATTATTAAAAATATTGTTTATACTAACCCTGTTATTATTTGTTATTGTGTAATTTTTAATATATTTTCATTTTTAAAAAAAATTAGAATTACCTATTATTGACTAGATATTCCTACTATAGCTACACACAAATATTATAACAACTAAATATAAAATCAAATCATTATTATTAAAAAGGTATGATAATAATGTAAATTAAGTTTGAATTTGAAAATATTAATTTGAACTTATTAATTATTTCAATTGTTTTGTACCCAATCTACAACGTTTGGCTTACTCAAAGAAATTATGTGAAACTTTTAGGTATGCATATTTTCAAGATATATACAAATGTAATTTTTTTCTGTATCAATTTTAGTTATAAAATTAAAAAAAATTCAGTTTTAAATAAAATCAAACAGTCATAGGATCCTATATTTTGTTAAATTAAAAGTATACATACAATATAATGACAGTAATTAATAATATATAAATTTCAGTGGTTTGAATTATTATTCTTTATTGTATATGTAGATTTATTTTTTTTGATAAACAGCGCGCACATTGTACCTAAATTTATACTCACTTCTTATTTTAAACAGAGTATATATTATAACTATACAATTTTATTGAAACTAGGTATTTATTGATGTTAAATTATTGTTATACCTTATGTAATAATATTATAAATGTAATAAAATATACCTTAGCTAGCAAACTTCTAATTGCAATATGCGTTTAACTGAAGATAAAATGTTAACAACAATTATTCAACATTGCTAAACTATTGTGCTTAAAATGATGTACCTATGTAAAGTTATTAATTATTAAAATAATTATTTACAATATGACAAAAATAAAAAATAAAATCGAAATTCTAAAAAACATATAAAAAAAGTATTTTAATATTATAGGGTACATATTTGTGCTTGTAAATACAAATTGTCTTAAATTGATAAATTGGTATTAATCATTTCCTCACGAAGTTTTCCTAGATCCTTCAATAATCTTTGCAAACATTCTTCATCATGCTGTCGTCCAACCATGTGATTAGTTAGCACATTTTGAATACTAAAAAAAAACAAAACACAATTATTGTATAATTGAAGAGAAACAATTGAATGCTATTTTAGTCATTACCTTTAATAGTATTAGAAATAAAATTAAAACACATGAACATACATACCGAAAATACATAGCTTTTGTTGTGCTCTGTTTTAATAATAACTTTAAATATTATGTTTTCAGGATTATTATTCTGTTAATTGATATTATAAAAATTAAAGGTTAAATAAGTACTAGCGTAAACTAGATATTTTATTGATATTATGTAAAGCCCATATATTAGTTTAACAGTCTGAAAAGCTCGAGCTGGAGCTCAACAAAGAGAAAAAGTGAACAAGCATATCCAGGATTTGCTATGTGGACTGATGAGCAGCCAGATACCCGAAAAAAAAACGACCAGTGGAGACACTTGCTAGATTGGTCATTGGCTACAAGGACCTTTAAGGAGATAGTAAAATCTGTCCTCACGAAGAACAAAGCTAGGAAGTGAATCCGACAAAGAGGACTAGAAAATTGAAGTTCATTATTGTATACTTTGTTATTTTTTTCCATTATTGAAATGAATTTGTTATTATTTTATGACATATGAGGATAAGTCACTATCTCATTACCCTCCCCCCCTTCCCAATTAAAGTAGTAATTAATTTGAAAAATAACCAAGGCGGGCTAGGGAGAAGTAATGTTGGAAAAGTTTCCCCTGGGCCCTAGTTCGCAACTAAAAAAAGTCATCTGATAAACTTAATAATCAAATAAAAGTTACAAATACAAAAAAAATGTCGGGGAGGCATGAACAAGGAAGTAGCTAAGATACTAGGCAAAGAGGAAACGATAAAGGCATTGCAAAATGGATGGAACAAAACTACGACAGGGCGTTGGACCCTCAGCTAATATCATCCTTTGAAGGATTGGTCCATAGATTACACCATAGACCTATGAATGACACTGACCTCTCTGGCCTCAGATGCCTCAATAATTACTTATATATTCGAATTACAATAAACAGGTATCGTAGCTTGCACCACCGTGCTTTTGGAACCATTGCCAATAATGTCAAATACACCATCCTTCAATGTGACAGATGGTATGCAGTACCACACACAGATGTCAAATTGAATAGAAATATCTTACTTTTGCTTATTATTAGACATATGTTCATTATTTTGATTTCCATACATCTTTGTGTACATTCTATTGATTTTCCTAACAGAAGTTATCCATCGTTCCTTAAAGAACATCTGTGCCTTATTAGCTTCATCACACTGGTTCTCTAAACTTGCCTAGAAATTATAATAACATATTGAAAGTTAGAATTGTTAAAAACAAAAAATGCTAGCAGGTCACTTCAACAAAAGTTTATCCCTCACATCAAAATGTTTGAAACTGATTTACATATTTTAACAAATACTTACAATTTTCTGATTTAATGTCTGTACTTCTTTTTGTAATAATACATTATGTGATTCAGATTGATGAAGTTTAGCTTCCAAGTTTGAAATTTTACTTTTAAATTCTTTGATTGTTTGTACAAAAGACGATTGCAAATTTTGCATAACATTTATGTATTTGTCATTCAAATTATCTTTTTGATATGCATACTGAAAAAAATACTATATAGTAGTATACCTGATTTACGTGATGTTGTTTATACTGCTTTCTTAATCATAAGTAGTAAAGAAATACAATAATGAAATATTTAAAAAAAATCTTAACCACACAAAGTTCTTCACTTTAGCTTATAAGCGTATTTTGACAGCAATATTACAATAATCATCACTAACAGCAGACGAGTTTAATTATTAATATTTATTACTTGTACTAATACCTCATGCGTAAACAGGTAAAAATAGTCAGTGGCGTACATTCAATGTTGCGAAGGAGGGGGGGGGGTTGTCAAAATATAATACACACAAATAACTTCTCTTCTATAATCTATAACTAAAATTTTTCAACAAAATTATGACGATTTTTTTTCTCTAATAATCAAACACATAGGTACTAATGCATGTCTGTGAACACCCGAATATTATTAATTACTATAAATAGACTATAGTTACTATTGTGTTATCAGTAATGTGTACATCCTCTTAAACAGTTTACAGTAAAATAGCTAGGTATATAAAATGATTGTAAATTCATATTTTTAATATTAGAATAGGTATGCCGTATGCATTTGAGCATTTAACAATTAACAAAAGTCAAACAGTACTAAACACTAAACACTTAATAATTAAAATATAATTATTAAATTATTATTTATCATATTTATTTACTGCAAGTAAATAAATATGATAGATTCAAGTCAAAATTACTTCCGAGAGTAACATTGTAACAATTATACAATAAATACCTATAATATATCACTTATTCACAATTTTTTTTTCTGGCTTGGAGGGGTTTGAACTCGACCTACTTATGCCCCCCCCCTGGGTAAGCACTTTACTGAAAATAGTACTAGCTACTAGGTAGTAGTAAACCTGGGAGTGGAATTAGTACTAAGCATCGTGTAAACCTGACATCATGTAAATCAGGTCAGTAGCTAAAGCCCTACAATTTTATAAATTGTGGTTATTTAAAAATAGAACTTTACAAAATTGTTTCATAAAACCCTTAAGAATTAATGACACTTTATTTCAAATTCAGCAAAAATATTCTTATTTACCAATTACATAAGCATATCTACAAAAAATAATTTTACACAAATATTCACTACCTATTACGTTATATGATATATAGAATATTTTACCTCTAATTCTTTAGATGTAATATTAGCTTCTCTTTCTTTGAGCATGTCAGCTAATTTGTCCATATTCTCAGCATATTCTTTACATTTTGTTACCTGAAATGTTAGTTCATCTTCAATGCTTTTTTTATCAGTCAGCCATTTGTTTTTAATTTCTTGTAGTAATTGCTCTTCTTTTATTTTCATCTACATAACACAAAAAATCAAATGTAAATGTAAAATGTATTTTAGCTTAAATATATTACAATTATTATACCTCTTACCTTTTCATTAAATAATATCATTTGTTGGTCTTTCCAGTCTTCTAATTCTTCAATATATTTTTGTTGTACATCATAACTATTTATGTTACTAAATTATTGTAAAGAAATTGCTTTTAATTAATTTTAAAAAAATAATAATTTATCAAGAAATTTAAAACCATACTATGTCTCATTGTTATTTGACATTATTTTTGGTTGTTCCATTACTTTTAATTCATTAGGTGATGCAGAAACCTCTCTGCTTAATCTTGTATTTTTATCTATAAAAAAACAATTAAAAACTAACGGTTTCAAATATTTATATAAATATGTATATATTTATATAAAGAAACAGAGTATTTACCTAACCGAGAAGGAAGTTTTATATTAACTATACTTGTATGAGTATTCAAATTTTCTATCTTTTTTGTTGTACATTCTTCAATCTTCTGATTATAATCTTCAATTCGTAATGACAATGTAACACTATAATTATAGTTTTTAGATCCAATTAATTTGAAGGTTTTATTGTCTACCTAAAAATTAAAAACTATAAATATTTCTGTATAATAAATATAAATATTTACATCATTGTACTCTATCATTAGATGAGGTGGTTATAAATTGAGCTCCTTTAATTTTTAAAAACAAGTATCCAAGTTTTTCATGAATATTAGTTATATTTGACACACGGAAACATTCAATTTTAATTGATTCATTATACATTCGTGTTCTTAAAAAAAAAATGACCATTATACAATATTTATACATAAATATTATTTATTAGTTGCACAATAATAAGTAAACATTTCAATTTTAAGAGAAATACATTACTTACTTTTTTAATTCTAAACTATCCATATACCATATGAATTCACAACCAAATTTTAATTCATTTTTGTTTACAAATATTGATGGAGTTTGTAGTTTTAAATCTTTTAGTGTAGCATTTATTACAATAGATCCTTTGATTAAACCAAATCCATATGCTGTAACCATATAATATAAAGAAAACACAAAATTATGATTTTTTTAATGTTTAAACATGAAATAAAATACCTGTAAAATACTATGCTAGACTTTTTATTTAGTCATTTTATATGTGGTGATAAGTACCTAATAATGTTACATCAAGAAAAATATTAGGATCATGTAAAACAAAAATTTAATAGATACATTGATCACTGTGTTTATATTATTTTTATTTTTTACGGGAGCTCATAAATCAGAGTTTACTGTTAAAATTCATCATGGGAGTAAAGCCCACTCTGCGTGAAAAAAGTTATGCTACAAAATAGGTTGTGCAATATCATCTAAACTATCAACACCACTGACTTATTTTGAATAATTAAGGATAGATTTAGAAGATAATTTAACTTCATTTAATTTTGCTTAGTTTTGAAAACAAAACTAAGATCAGGGGTAACTTTTGAAACTTCTAACTACATTTTTAGAATTTTGACTCCACTATAAATAACACATATAAACTGTAATAATTAATAATTCAATCATTTTTACCAGATACAACATTTAATATTATCCTCTTGTTCGTATAATCAGTTCCTTGAAGTTGTATTGTCATCGTATAATAAATTCAAATTGATCAAAATTCATTATTTTAAATGACTAATTTTGATAATATGTAGGAATATATTTTGGTTTTTTTTTAAGTTAAATAGTTAATATATTCTTGTATTTTAATATTTCATTTTATTCGTCAGGCATTTGAAAACTCAATTATAAAACATCTTAATGATTAATATTTGAATAATTAATAGTCAGCAATAATAATAATCGTTAAATTGAATAATATTATTAAAAAAATATATAATATTGATTATATATATTGAGTAATTAGTTAATTGAAAAAACATACGAAGCACAATCGGTAAGATAATAGGTAAATCGGTAAATAATAAAAAATCTCTTATCTTCTACCGGTACTATTTACTCAGTAAATACCTACTTTTTGAATTTAAATCGAAATTGGCGTTCGGTAATCGCTAGTTCATGCGATTGCCGCTAGGAAATAATAAACGATAAGTTACCCGAGAGGTTCTCAAATCGTAAGTAATTAGAAATAAAACCACTCCAATATATTATATAGAAATTATAATATAGAAGTCTGTGATTATAATATGTATGGCTTAAATATACGAGGCATAAATTAAAATATATACATAGATAGTACACGACCACAATATGAAACCATAGACCTATAAAGAATTAAGAAATAGGTCTATGTATGAAAAGGCGACCACAGATATAGATAATAATAATTATCAATATCTGTAACGGCAACCCAATATTTTTTGTTCATAGATAGCGTGCATTATTTGCTTGTAATATTTTAGGCGATCGTAGTGAATTACGCCGCCCCAAATTTTCCAGTTTTCTATTTTAGATAACAATAATAATGGGCATAAACCGCCATTAGACAATGGGTTGTGGTAGTTGCGGCCCCGCAGGCCGTCGTGTCGTCTGTCTATGAGTGTCGTGTAGAGTGTCGATCACTGACCAACTGCATTGTCAGTACTCAGTACTCAGTAGTCACACTCGTCACTCACAAGAAACCGAGCATAAAATTACTTTCCTTTTATTTACTTTTCGCTTAAAATTCGGTCTTTCTATTTTATAATAGTAAAATTAGAAATAAAACGTGTTAAGGAAATTATACTGTACAGGGTGATTCACAAACTATAAACTATCTTAAAACGTATTACTTTTTTTTATAATTATTCTTCACATTTTCACAGTTATTATAGTTAGCCCAAATTTGATAATTTTTAACTATATAACCCCATCCTGGGGTTACAATAATAAAAATATGTACATTAGAACTGGAGCGGTGTCTGTTGTTGCCGCGGTTGAGATCAAAATATTCTATAATATAATCCATGTATACAAAAAATAAGTATTGAATTATGGTTTTTTCCACCAAGTCCTAAGCCGCGTCCAGCGGCCGACCTTTAATATACTATGATTTTACATTATTCAAAGGGGGTAGTGATAGATCGCCTCCTCGTGGTACCCCCTGGGCAACGTTCATCTTCTCAAGACGAACGGATAAAGATCTATATACCCGGTGGTCATACTATCGTTTATAACGTTCTCCTGGCCTGGTTACATGCAACCAAACCGAACACAATCCAATCGAAAGATTCTACCCAAAAACGGCCCTTTTCAGGGCCACCGGACAAGAAAGCTAGGGTCTCCCCTACGCATTTGCCAAATTAATATTGAAGGTAATAGCAGACCAAAAAGTGACTCCATATCCCGAATCACAAGACATCGATAAAGAGGACATAGAATCGACTGTCTCACAAGTCACAACCCCTTCCACATTTATTAAATGGCTGGAGGAACTAGAACTTAAATTATAATACCAAATATATTGTTTTGTTACCTTGTTAATATTATTCACTATTACTCATACTACTAAGTACCCTGATTTGTTTTATTTTTTTTATTCATCAATCATCTGTTATATCAATCTGTTACTGTATGTTATCATATGATAATCAGTTTAATGCGTGTAACCATAAACCATACGCTAAATAATAAACATCAACAAAAAAAAAAAAAATCAATATAAAAAATAACAATTATAATATTTGTTTGTTGAGTTTTTACTTTTTTTAAATTAGTTTTACTGGCGTCTTTAGACTTTTTTTGCCGTTTGGCCATAGGCACAACCAGGGGGGTGCTAGGAGACTTTAGCACCCCAGACCCAAAATAAACATTCCCAAAAATTCAAACACCAATCCTTGATTTGTATGCATAAAATTGTAATAATGTACATACTCTGTTCAAATTTTGTATTTTAGAATATTTTTGTTTTCAAATATTTTATATCTAATGGTTTAAAGATAATAATTATGTTTAGTCAGGTATACATAATTTTAGCACCTCCTAAAATGTAGGTCTAGTTGGGCCTATGCGTTTGGCAGCACGAAACAATAAAACAAGTCTAATAATTACATGGTCCAACGTTCACTGAAAGTTTAAATGAAATTTTCGTATGACTTAATAATATAATAATATTTAACCGGAGTTTTTTTTTTATAAATTGATTTAAGAAATTTGAAAATTATAATAATTTGTAGTATAATTTTTGCCACATTCTCCAAGAAGAGTTAAACAGGTTAGTCTCTCGGGCAGATAAGCTAGTGCGGCAATATAATATTGCTAAATGTCATTATTTTTTTTTTACACGCCGCAGACTCCCTATTCAATTTAGTTACACTATAAAGGGATCAGTTTTATTGTCGCTTGACAAGTCTGTCACTGATCTAGGCTTCATTTTCAGTCCAACGCTTAGTCCTAATTTGCATGTAGAGAAAGTTTGTTGTAAAGCTCTCAAAACATTAGGTTTTGTTAAACGTGTGTCCTCCGAGTTCGAATTAAAATCACCTTTGAGAGCACTCTATTGTTCACTGGTTAGACCAATCTTAGAATATAGCTCGGTTATTTGGGACCCTCATACGGCGGAAAACTCTATAATGCTTGAGCGAGTTCAACACAATTTTTTTAATTATTTAAGTTATGCTTTAAAGATTAAGTGTCCGCATGTTTATATCTGGAGTTTTTAGTTTTATAAAAATAATTGTTACTATTTTTATTGTTGTTGTTTGATATTCCATTGATGTTCTATATGTAGTTGTAAAAATGATCACTGTTTTTATGATGATCTTGCCCTTGAGGCGTATAAATGTATAAATATAAATATTTGAATATAATATAATATATCACAAATACAATTTATTCATTTAATATAGTTAGAATAATTCTATATAAATTAATTGTTTGAGATTATTATAAATACATACAAAACGAAACTTAAACGTATGGTTATTATAAGACATTTGAGTAGGTGAAATGTCCTGGAAACTTCACAACCTTAAAATATTATAGGACAATCATTTAAATCAATGTGACAACAACAACTAAAATAGTTCTTATAAAATTAAAATATAATTTATAATATTGTATGATAATTATTTTTTATATATTACCAAATATATGATTTTATCAAAAATCCGTTTTTCACTCAACTCTTGAATTATGGCACCACAAAGTTGGGCATTAATTTCATTAAACCCTTATTTTGATGCACTTTAGTCAGGTAAAAGTGTGTCGGGGATCAGGCATCAAAATTAAGATCTAACTTTTTTTTTATCCATTTAGAACCAGTTTAGGGGGCGTGTTAATTGAAATTCCTCTAAACACAAAATAAGAACCACCACTATACATACATTAAAATAGAACAAATATTAGAATCAAGTGTTTACATAATTTTAATTTCACAATCATAATGGTAAATAGTCAATAATAATTTATCATGTATTACAAAGTAGTTTACAATAAAACAAATCAATTATTAAACATAATGATGTGTTATAAATAAAAATAGTATCAAATAGGTTTTTTAAAAAAAAATATAGATAATTGTTCACAGAAAAACGTTCATAAGTTAGTAACAACATAAAAGGTGAGCAAACTGTTCTACAACAAAATAGTTAACAGCTATCGATTATGTATAAATTAACAAAATGAATGACTTATCATGATTTAAATTTATACATATTTTGAAAGTACCTAACAACAATATTGCTAGTGTTATACTTACTTAAGTAATTAAACATAATAATAGGTAGTGATATGATAAATAATTTTTAATGGATATGTAGTTATGCACAATTAATAACATGGATAATTCAGGTAACTCAATTTTATAAATAAAAAAAATATTATTAATTAATAAGAAACCCTATTCACAATAAAAACACTTATACATGGATTGCATATTTTAGCAACTCTGTTGTGATCTTCTCAGTGTAATAGCAGACAATTGATAAAGAACACTGTTGGTAATAAAATAATGTTGTGATGACAGAGGTGTAGTTTTAGGGGTGGCTAAGGGGGCACCATCCCCCCGAAATTTTTTTAGTCTGCCTATGGGCCTATATGATGTGAATTGTAGAAGTTTAATATTGTCAAGTTTTTATTAGGTGTTAGTACCTCAGCCCCCCCTCCAAAAAAAAAAAAATCTAAATACGCCCCTGTGTGATGCACATATATTATGTGGTTTAAATCTAAAAGTTCATGTAAATAAGTATAAAATATGTAGAGCTTTCTATTATACTCTAAAAAATACTTAAGAAAATAAAAGTTAAATCACAAAAAAAATTTGGATATGACTAAACAACAAATATAATACATAAATTAAAACTTTGATCAATTGATAATACAATATTGGTTTTGAAGGTGGAGTAATCAAAATTAAGTTATACTGACAATATAACATAATATGTACCTACACCATAAAACCATTAAGATTTTGTTACACAAAATAATACATACATCAACATTATATCTTAATCAGATTTGTATGGTATGACACTGGGATGGGATTGATATGAGCTCGGTGTTTTATGCTCTTTTATAAAATAGTTGGTTAAAAATATATTAGTTGATATAACATTTAAAGATTGTAGAGATAATAATATTTAGTTAGTTACCTTTTCTTTTATAATTTATAAATATTCAGTTAGTAGTTCATCATATTTAACTAATAGTAACTTTTTAAATTTAAAATAACCCATTACACTTTTAATAGACTATTGAAGTAGAACTCAAAAACTAAAACTGACAAACAAATAAATATACAGACATCTTATTCAATACATTTTATTATTAATTAGGTAAAAAAATTATTTAAAAATAAAAAAAATTTTTTTAGGTTAAAATTCCATATAGATATCCAGAATGAGGGCTGCCCCTGTAAAGTTTAGGACCTAAAGTAAACAATTAGTGTGGGGCATTAGACCGAGATATAATATCATTTGTTCCATTTTAAGTAAGTAGAAACATTCAGTACTTACAAACAACAAAATTTCTAGAGAATAAAGGTGGACCTTTTAAGTAAGGGGCCTAATGTTGAGGGTAATGAATGTGGAGTTCAGGTCAAGGCCCAGATGGGACCGTTCTAGAGATGGGCCTGTCTAAAATTAGATATAAATATCTATATAGAATTAAAAATTGCATAATATTTTATGATATGGCACTATGTCAGTCTAAAATTCAATATCTGAAAAACAAACACAAAAACTTAAAATTTATTTAGATAGGTTAGTACTATAGACAAATAGAAATTAATATAAGCAGTTATAATATCAGTAAAAATAAAACAGCCAAAAATATTATATTGTAAAATTTTTAGATTTTATTTATGGTATAGAGTTATATTAAAAGAGCGTCATACAACGTGTAATGTACATAGGAAAAGTAATGCGTTCATATTTCAAATGCTACAAAGTCTTCAATAAACTTAGACACATAAATAGTATAATGTTGCAAAGGTATTAAGTAAGGTGGCGCAATATAAAAAAATGTTTTTTTTTCGCCCACCATTAAAAATTAATCTTTACAGTAAATAAATAAGTATATCAAAATTTGGGGTCATTCGGTAAAGTTTAACAGGTTGCTCAACATGGTTTAATATAAACCCTATAGGCCTATACATTTTAGGTATTTTTCATTAATTTGCACAATTTGCTGTTTAAAATTAAAACTATTCAATATTCTCTGAATCTGACGGTTTTGTTCGAATCCCATGAAGTTACTCTATCGTTTGATATAATAATATATACAATCTAACCTCGTTTAATATGGTTTCATAGTAGTTTTAATTATTAATAAATTTACGTTTTTTATTATTTCCAAAGTCAAACTCAAAATAAGATTGAATACTTTATTTTTAAAATCACATTTTTAGGATATAATTTGAAAAAGAGCTTCGGATTGTATTAATAATTTATTATTATAAATAGATAGTCATTATTAATTAAGTATTATATTAATTAATAATGTTTCAACTAAACCAACTGATCTTCCTTAACATTTCTTGATAAATTATTTATACAGTATGTAGCCTTCTTTCAAATAATATCCTAAAAATGTGATTTTAAAAATAAAGTATTCAATCTTATTGTGAGTTTGACTTTGGAAATAATAAAAAAACGTATATTTAATAATTAAAACTACTATGAAACCATATTAAACTATAAAGGTTAGATTATACAATCTAACCTATATTATTATATCAAACGATAGAGTAACTTCATGGGATTCGAACAAAACCGTCAGATTCAGAGAATATTGAATAGTTTTCATTTTAGTCAACAAATTGTGCAAATTAATGAAAAATGCCTAAAATTTATATTAAACCGCGTTGAGCGACCTGTTAAACTTTACCGAAAGACCCCAAATTTTGATATACTTATTTGTTTACTGTAAAGATTAATTTTTAGTGGTGGGCGAAAAAAAAACATTTTCTTTTGCGCCACTCTAGTAATAAGTTCCAACGAGTTTTGTTTGAATTAGATTATCATAATTGATATTATTTTCATTTTTTCTACCTTTTCAAATAAATATTACTATAATATGAACTTTTTGGTAAGCTGTAATGCTCGCTTTTTGGTACTATTTTTTAAATTGAGTTCCAATAAAATATGGATGGTAATAAAATAGTAATTTTTAATTTTTGCTATTGAAATGACTATGTTTAAATTAAGATTTTGCAAACAAAATCTATACTTTACTCCTTAATAGAAAGGTGGTTTGGTGTCCTCTTAATATTATTATACTGTTTAAAAAGGAAATTTATTTTTTGTAATTAGATTGTTTTAATTTTTTTTTAAAAAGGTGCTCAAATTAATTTTCCTAAAATTCAATGTTAAAACAGAACTTTTATTTGTTATATATATAAAAAGATCAATTTCATCAATATTTTATACTGTAAGTACAACATTATAACATTATAACTACCTGTTCAAAGTCCCAGTTTCTTTATTAATTGACATTATGTCTGACTTAGGATCAGGTGAATAGGAACTCCAAGATGTTTCTGAACACGGGATTAACTCTTTAAGTTCACAATTATGAACTGATCTACGGGGAACAACCATACAAGTATCTATAATATTATAAAATCTGAAAAATAAATAAATATCATTTAGAGATATATTTTTTTAATCTAATTAATTTTAGTAAAAATATGTTTTCCATACTTGATCATTAGGCTATCAATCCAACTAGTTAGTTTGATTTTTATATGATCATTTGATTTACTTTTAGTATCAAATTTGTTTGTATTGTTAAATAATTGTATTAAATTTTCCCAATCTTTAACATTTTTTTCATGTTTTTGATCTTTATTAAAAAATCTGAAATAATATTAATAGGTATTTAAAATATTTGAGTCTATCTAAACAATTTTGAAATTTATATTCTTAATCATTAAAAAAATGTCTATTAATTACTTTGGTGAAGTAATTTTTAACTATAATATTGGTAATGATTTATGTAAGATAGAGAAATCTGATAATGACTGCGTAAGTCACTGGGCTCAGTTTTTAAAAATTAGCAAATTGTACAATTTTACGCCATAAAATCAAAATTTAGTTTTTACATTTTTAGATAAGAAAAAAAAACAAATAATGATTCTCCTCTCTTAGCAACATAGAATATTCTATGTAAAGATAACCTGTGGTACCCAAATAATCTCAGACTGTTCTTTTTTTTACTGACTATACAGCTCAATATACATTAGTATTATTAGTATGTATTAATATAATTATAATTATTTGAATAATTGGTTACTTTAAAACAGTGGCGGCTTGTGGTAATTTGACACAGGAGTGCGATAAAAAATTAGAAAACCATAACCCAAAATGATATAAAATCTATTTATTTGAGGAAAATATGTATAAATATTTTCTGAAAATGTTCCGTAAGCTTGGTTTTAAATCTGAAAATAGGTTATCAAACCACGAAAAATGCCTTGATTTTTTTATGAAATTTTTTCATCGTGTCCACGTAAAGGTAATTTGTGAGATCAACAAAATTTTACACAATTTAAAGTTTTTTCTAAAATATCTCGATTTTTAGAAACTTGCTCATTATGACGTTTAATTCCTACTTTATAACCACTATCAATTTGACTTCTTATGTCAATAGTCTCCAAACACTTTGAAATTTGCCTTATTTTGTAGATGTTTAAACAAATTTTCATGTTTATTTATTTTGGCTAAAAGATGTATTAAATCTTTTACACCAGTCTTACTTCAAGATATCTCACATCCAATACAAACACAAGGGAAACAAAATAACGATACAGTAGTTTCACAACCACAAAGCCATTTGAACTTTTGATAAAGCCCAGTATTAAAATGACGAGTGTATTAATTTTGTCCTTTTTATGAAATATTAGTTAAATTGGGTAAACTTGGTAAAGGTCTACCCAAATTTTTTGATTTCTACTTTTTTTCCTAATGAAAATTGTAATTTTAAAATTTCTTGTACGGAATTTATATTATATTATAATAAAATACTACTTATAAAAAAAAACTAAACGTTAATAATACATTAATTAATTATAATTAAAATTATAATATTAATTAATAGTCACCGTTCTCCTCTGTTGTCCGTACCTAAACTTATCAACAACGGTCACGCTGTCAAATTCATATAGGATGCCGCCCGAATATTGTGCGGTATGAAATCATCGCACATTATAGTTTATATGGCCGCCTCTGCCGATAATCTGATATTATATTTATATATACTATGAAAACCTGTTTTTATATGCGCGGTTCACAATGTAGCACATATCACGTTATAATGACCGCCAAAAGTATTTATAGGCTTTCACCCAAATTGTGAGACAAAAATTATCACACTAGTCATAATATGATATTAGATTTATAGAGTATAGATATTACGAAAAATAATAAAGTATTCCTTTAACATAAAATATCAAATCAAATATATTATTTCTACTAGTTCGTTATTTCTGTAAGGGGTGCGGCTGCACCTTCGCACATAGTCACGTTCTGCCACTGCTTTAAGAGAAATAAACCAAGAACTATTTTTAATAATAAATTTAATAAATATAAAATCAACCAGATTACCAGAAAATGCCCAGTTTCTGATATTCACAGATCGAGAACTGTCCTCAAGACATGTAAATACAATAGATAGATAATTTCCATGAAAAAATCAACTAATTTGTTAATTAATAATAATTAAAATTTGCTATTAAAAATTATACTCAGTGTGTTTAAAAATATAGCATTGATTATACCTTGTATGACTAGAAAACATTGGTTTATTCCTGGAAGACTGCAATGAAGTAACTAAAAATTGTGTATACGCCACTGTTTTGTTTTCATAAATCAATAATACAGTCCATATTCCTTGTTCTAAGGGCATTTGTAATACTGGTTTTCCAAATGTTATCTACAATGTTGTAAAATATTAATGACAATTTAAAACTTAAAAACAAATAATACAAACCAATGCAGATTCTTCAATATTTACTGACGTTACATTTGCTAACTCTCCATAAGGATTTAACCATAAAAAAGTAATACTAAAACTGAAGTCACCAAGAGCCCATTGATGAATGAGTACTGGCTCTGTGTGTGGTCCAATAAGGTGGATAAAGTCGTGAGACATTTGTTCTTTTTGGTCAAAATTAGAGCTTACCATGAAAGTCTATTAACAAATAATAATGTAAGAAATAATAAAACGTATATTATATAAATTGTATAAAAAAAACTGCATTTACCATTAATCTATTGATAGGTTCTTTGTTAACTAAAATAACATTCTGTAATTTTGGCCAACACCAACTTTCAATTAATACTTTGGAAGAATTGTTTGAAAAACTTACTTCATATTGTATTAAAAAACCCTAAATTGTTTAATTAGTTAGTATAGTATTTGAATTTTAATAACTACAAATACTATTACTTTAAATTGATCTTTATAATGGTAAGTGAAAACTTGGAAGAGCTTATCCGTACTACGGACATGACAATGGGTTTTAAATGATTTTATAGCAGTTCTTGCTAGACTAGTTCCAATAGTGAGCAATACTTCATTGGGTTCTGGTTGAGTATCTTCAAAATGGTATACATTTTGCCAGTAACTCAAACGATTTTTCATATCTATAACATTAAAATTTAATTATATTAAAAGCATTATGGTATAGATGTCATTATTTTCTATTATTAGACTACTAAAAAAAAATAGTTTCCTATAATCCATTACCTATTAAAAAATAGTTACATCCTTATTTCTAAGGGATTTTTAATATTAAATTGCCTAAATATTATAATGAAATTGATATGCCAATTCTTCTATAGTAATTTTTTTTGATATCTTGCTATAAAAATTGGGGATACAACATTTTCTTAGGATATTAAAATAAAAAATTAAATGTTTACCTCAATGTTCATTATAACAATACAACATAATTTAAGTTCTAAAGAAAATATTTTTTGTTATTACCATTGGGATAATTTCCATATAACCATACTTCAACCATGTCAATAATAGTTAAGCTAACGACTGGTTCAAACTTGCGGGCAAAATATACTTGTTTTTTCTCAGTATTCTAATCAATAAATATAAATAAAATAATATTAACAAATTTATTTCATATCTTAAATTTATTCAAATTGTACCTTAATACGATTCCAATCATCAGAACGGAAAACATTTGGGCTACATCCACACCAGTCAACTACATGACGATACTGACATTTACACCCAAGCCATCTTTTCCAATTAGTAACATGTAAATTATTATCTATGTAGCTATTACAGAATGGAGAGTTTCTCAAAACAGTATGAAAAAATGACTAAAAATTAAATTTAAAAATCATAAATAATTAAAAATTAAATTATAAAATAAACTGTGTTAAAAGAGCATGTGTGAAGTTTTTTGTTAAATATTGCTTATATTTTGCCCCTCAATAGATATCCAAGAATAGGGTGAAATATCTTTTTAATGCTAAGATATTTAATGTTAGTATTTAAAATTCTATGGAATAGAATAAAAAAAAAATGTTAAAAAATAATACCTCAGCTGGTAATAATGTGTACTTGAAAAATTGCATCAAGCCAGAAATCAGTTTATCACCAGTGACCAAGTAATTGACAAATGGCCGAGATAATGCCAACCAATCACTACCACCATCCCAAACGATGCCTTTGGGTAATTCTTTTTCACCTACACGCCACATTCTTGCTTCACACTCGACAAATGTCTTGTCTAATCCTTGTTTTTGTATAAATTGCTGTACTTCACGACCATGTGACTTAACAAAATTTTTTTCACGATTAGCTGCTAAAAATCTAACTAATGCATCATTTGACCTGAAAATTCCACTCCATATAACCAGTTTCAAAATATATATAAAATAACAGAAAACATTTTACGAACTTAATTGGAAAATCAGATTCACTAAGGTTAATGACAAAATCCCAGTCCCAAGAGGACTGAACAAGATCAGTCATTGCATCCACAAGAGTAGTTAGTAATGATGCCCCACCCCAAATAGTTGAATGTCTTCGTCGAGATAATCTGACATTGCTTAACGTTAATTCAATTTTTAATAACTCTCTAAACATATAGTCATGTCTCTAAAAATAAATTAAATATACTTTAAACATAAACAAAATAATTTCTGCTCAACTATTTCAAAAGAAATATTTTTTCTTACTGCATCCACATGAATAAAAAAATAATGATCACGATGAAAGAGCGCCTTGATCAACCTATAAACCTGCCTGACAGCTCGTCCATTCAAAGTCAATAGAAAAACAATACGTACAGGTGAATCATTGTGCTTTTGAATTAATATTGGTTCTGAAGCTACTTTTGCGATAAATTCTGAAAAAAAATTGTACTATATTAAGTAGAGACCACATTTAAAAATGTAGTAAAAACAAGAATAAAATTTAATTCTGTATAAAAAGAGTAAAACAATTTTTACTGCTGAATCCTATAATTTAATATATATGTCTTTAATATATATTTAATGTACATGTATTTAATATTCTAAAGGACATACTAGAAGCACCGGTTTTAAAGACATTTATAGTATAGTGTCCTCCACATATTTGACTTTGATTTCCTGGACATTTCATATCACAAAATGTGTCTGGAAGTTTAAGATCCCATTCTGGAAGCTCATTACCACAAAAACATTCAGTTCTACAACAATTATTTGAATTAATCATTTTGCATAAATAAACAACCTATTTATACAAATTATAATTTGATCTTTACCCATATTCAACTCCAGCATAAACAAATCCATATTGTAAGCAAATATCTAAACAATTATTATGAGAATTTGTAAATGCCAAAGTAGTTTTATAGCCTAGTAATAATTTAGTTTCTCTTCCATCACGGTAGCATCCTAATTCTTTAATATTTTTCAAATCTGAAAATAAATAAATATTAAACTCTATATAATTTAAATAAGTGGCAGATCCATAGATCTTTGACCAGTTTTTACTACTATATTTACATTTCTGAATACAATTTATTAGTATATTACCATGAGAAGGACATTGATGAGTCAGTCTGTGAGGATATGGTGGACTGGTCTTCATAAGACATGATATGTTAGCTATTAACTGTTTACAAGCTTGAGTCTTTGCTCTTTGTAAAGCTGATACAGGCTCGCGTCCATTTATATTACATGGTGGTGTAAATCCTAATTCATCTACTCCTATTGTTTTTAAATTATCAGTCTTATAGTTATATCGCTGTTGAAGGACTCTAAAGTCTTCATTAGATGAAACAATATTATCTTTATCTAGAGGGAATTTGTTACGATTACTTCCCCCACTAGGTACATTATTGTAACTAGATTCGTCATCATCACCAATTCCAAAATCTGCTGTGTTTCGCAATCTATTTAAAGACTTAAGACAAAACAAGAAAGTGTTTATATAAAAAACCAGGACGCTTAATACTTAAGGAATAACAATGGTCACTTACATTTGGTGAAAACTCTTCAATAGCAGTATAATCTTGAATAGAAAGAAAAACAAAAGCCAGGATAATTTGAATACATATTATTATTGATCCTCCGATACAAAAAAACCGGTATCTCTTCAGCCATTTAAAATCCATCTTTCTCACGTTTATTACGCATCATAGTTGGTTAACGTCATTACCGTACTTCAATTTTAATATGCTAAAAAGTTAAAACTTTTAAAAGATAATAGATTACCTATTACCTAATTGAAAAAATTGATAATTGATATCTCAATATTATCATATCGGCAAAGCGGAATGCGGATGATGTGAACTAATCTATTCTGTATTTTGATAAATGATAATTTGTTTGTTACAAAATTACAGTCTTAGATCATATATGTACTATGGATAGAGCTATTCTCGGAAAAGCCTTGTGTCAACCATCTACAAATGAGGTTAATGGCCAAGCAAACTTACATTTATACTGCTGCGCGTGCTCGATAATGATTGCTCAAGAGTAGCGCACAAAAGGTTGGCTGCTATATTGTTTTTGCGGCAGAGAGCCAGATTATAATCATGGAACTTATTATCTTTCTCTGAATATCCAGAAGGTAAATCGTGGATTTTTACTGATAAACCGGCTGTTATCATAAAAGCGACTGAAAATAACAAAACAACAAATGTCAGCAAACAGCATTGCAGCGTTTTTAATAACAATGTAGTGAATGTGTGAATAATATATTATTATAATTTATAATAAGTAATATACATGTTCTTTCATAAAAAACATTTCAAAATATTATTTTTCCGATTGATTAATTTACTTTGGCACTCTTTATAGATCATATTATATAATTGTAATTTGTATTTTATAAGTTTATACATTTTGTTAACATGTGAAAACGATAGTAATTACCTTTATGTTTATAGCGTAGACCTATCTTTATATCTAGGATTTATTTTACATTTAGATATATGGTGTAAATGTTTACTTGAATGTTACTTTTATTGTATTATATAAACTCACTGTGTATTCCTTTACCAGACTCCCAAGTACTAGTTAAGTCTGATTCCTTAAAATATGAGGAACTTACCCTAAACCTTTTTTTAAACTTCATACCTAAACCTTATTCCCATTGTCCTTTTATGATTTCGTCACTAGATACACTAAAAAGAGTTTTTCCTACAATGAGGTTTACGAATAGCACAATAATTTGGTTTACTTTATATTTGAAATTTTAATGTACCCGAAAAAATATAAGTATACAGAATATTTTATAAAATAAAAAATTGACATTTTATAAACAAAGTCTGGCGGGAATAATAATCAATATTTTTTGATAAGTATAATATTATGATTTATGGTGACATAGATCAAATAGTATGCTTAGCATAATAGTTGGGAACTTTTAAATGTTGGCGTTTTACGCGGGATAATCAAATTCAGATAATAAGATACACGATTTTTCCACAAGAAGCGCTAGCAGTCACTCACTTTTTGGAAAAGAACTCTTGTAGGCGCATATAGAAAATTGCGAGGTATAGGCCGATACGCAACCAGTCTATCTCATAGACCTGTTAAGATTCTTTATAGGTCTATGGTCTATCTACAGCCGCGCTATAGACTTATAAAGAAATTATTTATAGGTCTATGGAAAAAGCGGCCACATTATGTATAATATTATGTCTATGATGGAGAACACCACTGCCGTGATAATCAACAGCCTTGAATGTCGCCACTTATCATTCCCGACTTAAGTTTCCCTTCTGGTTTTTCTGTGATAAGACTACAATTTGTTATTCAAGGATGGATAATGTGATTTTTTTAAGGAGAAGGTATTTTTAATCTCATAGTTACCCTTACCTCGGCCTTTGAATATATATTATCTTCTTGGGCCATGCAGCTGGCAGCATGACTGCTAGACTTAGGTACTGTCACAGATTCTGCGGTACTGTCACTATCTAGTTTCATCCATTGAATTTAAAAAAAAAACTTCTCGCCAAGTCCTGGTAGTCCAAGTTGTGATATCAAAAATTATATTACATCGTTTGATGTTTATGCATTTTGAGTCCTTAGTTGTTGAGGTTTTCGTAGACGGTACGAATTATCAACTGTTAAAAATGTTTGACCATAATATTTTTTTTCCAACGCAATTTAAATCGTTTTAACAGTTTCTTGTTTACAGTTATTGATTTACGTGAAATCTATTACAAAAATATTTCGTACTGGTTCATAATATTGTTATTTTAGAAGATACATTAAGTGTTTGCCTCCAATGGTTGATTACAGTAAATGGAAAAATATTGAAGTATTATTTTATAAAAAATGAAGTCAGAAGGAACTAAATAGTAATGTATTAAATCTTACATTCAGGTATCAGATGATGAAGATGAGACGCATCCAAATATTGATACGCCATCATTATTTCGCTGGAGGCATCAAGCTCGTGTTGAGCGCATGGAACAAATTAAACGTGAACAAGATGAATTAGAGGCTAAAAAAAAAAAGTAAATACCTACTTTTATTTAATGTTATCATTTATTGACACATTAAATTTATATGCATGCAACTTTTAGTTTTCAAGTAAAGGTTGAAGAGACCAAGAAAAAAATATCGGAAGCTGAACGTGAAGGTCTAAATAAAAATGACCTCGAGCAAGCATTAAATGCATTAACAGTCGAAGAACAAGAATTAAATCAAAAGGAAGATGAGTTTAAAAAAAAAGAAAAGGTTAGGTTAGGTTAATGCATAAAATATTTCAATCCTAATTATAATATATATCTTATTATATTAATTGGGTACTGTATTAAATATTATATCTATCTTGTTAAGAGTGTACCATCCCATTTTTTATTTGCTTGCAAAATATGTCTCAGGAGATTAACTTTCCTGATAAATTTTAGTTGTAGAGTAAAAGTACATCATTAGAAAAATTAAAGATCTACTTTATATGTGTGATATGTCTAAAACTATTCTGACAAACATTTAATTTTATTTTATATTTAGGTAATGCCTTGGAATGTGGATACAATAAGTAAACCAGGATTTACAAAAACAATAGTAAATGCTCTTAAGCAACCACAGCCAGAAGAAAACTTAACAGAAGAAGAAAAAGCAAAGAGATTAGAAACATTTATCAAGGAATATAAAAGCAAATTACAAGAATATGGCATGTTTAAAAAGTACAAAGATAGTCAAGAATATTTACAAAAAAATCCTCAGCTTGTGTGTGAAAACACTGCAAACTATTTAGTTATTTGGTGTATTGATTTACAAATGGAAGGTGTAAGTTCAAAGTAATATGTCTAAAGGTTAACTGATTTTTACCTAATATTTTTACTACTAGAAATCAGATCTAATGGATCATGTAGCACATCAAACCATTTGTATGCAGTATATTTTAGAATTATCTCGACAACTTAATATTGATCCAAGAGCTTGTGTTCCATCATTTTTTTCAAGGTAAATAAATAGATATTGTATTTGCAAGACATAATACAACTTTTTATTTGGACAGAATACAGTTAGCAGAGAAACAGTATAAAGATTCGTTTGATGAAGAGCTGTCAATGTTCAAAGAACGTATAAGAAAGCGATCCGAGGAAAAACTGCGTATTGCGCAAGCTGAAATTGAAGAGGAAGAACGAAAAGCTAGACTTGGGCCGGGGGGATTAGATCCAGTTGAAGTTTTTGAACTTCTACCAGATGTATGTATAATAATTACTGTTTATTGGTATTTTATTAACATTTTCATTGTTTGAGTTATTAGGAATTGAAAAAATGTTTTGAATCACAAAACGTACAGCTCTTACAAGATACAATAAAAAATATGAACCAAGCAGATGCAGCTTATTATATGAAGCAGTGTGTGGATTCTGGGCTATGGGTGCCAGATGCAAAAGATAAAAATGAACCTGAGGAAAGTGATAAAAGTACTCAAGAAGAAAATATATACAATGAAATTGATTAACAATTAAACATAATTATTCTAGTTTTTTATTTATTGATTAATTTTTATTGGTTTTAATCAAAATTTGTTTTCAATATCTATATCTATTTTATGTATTAAATAAAATTGCATATTATATCAGCTATTCAAAATACCACATTCATGTTTCATAATATAATAATAATTATTCTTTAATTTAAATTAATGTATTATTATGTATTTAAATAAAATTACTATAGCATTAGGTATTTAATAAAATTAAAATGTAATATTAGAAAAACCAACTGTACTTGAATCTGGTATTCAGAGTTTGAATGATAGTTTAAAGAATATATTATAATAAATTAATTTTTTTATATTTTTCTAATACTTGACTTATTACAATCAAAACTCATTCTGTTTAAGGATTATATATTTTTTTTTTATAAAAGTACTGTTTAAACATGTCAACGCTATTGTTATTAAACAACATTTTATGCACACCTATTGAGATTTTAATAATTAATCTGTACAAACATTCCATCAAGGTCATTAACTGTTTTACTAATAGCCTCTTTAATTGAATTTTATTTATAGTTAGATAATTGGTAGTAGTAGTAAAGTTTACACAATATTTTTGTATTCAAATATTATTATCATTCAAATTGTTATCCAGTATGTCTTCTGCAGTAGGTATACTCAAGACAAATTTTAATCAAATTTGTACTAAAGTCCGAATCTGATTAAAATTTGTCTTTTATAAAGCTTGTAAACCTAGAATATAATTAGTATGATTAATTAATTTGATGGGTATGTAGATGGTAGGTAATAAACAGTGCTACAATTCTGGGCTTAATAAAGTTGATATTTCAGTTCTGTTTATACCACTTCAACATATTATTTCGTATAACATGAGTTACTCAAAGCCTACACACTTTCCAAACAATTTTAAATTATCTAAAACAGCACCCACCTAATCTTATCATTATAATAACTACTAAAGTAGGTACCTACGATAGTAAGTTGTCTATCTCTCAGATAGCAGCTTAAAGCCTATAGCCTATAAAGTTCTATGCCTAATTTTTTTAATTTAAGAAATAGTCTTCATGCTTTTAAAGTCAATAGCCTTTTCTAAATCTAAAAAATATATTAGGATTTTTTTTATATTTTATAATAACAATTTTCATGCTTAATTTTAAATCCTATGGACAATTAACAAAAACTTTATGTATATTATATATATAATTTCCCTAGGATTAAAAGATTTAATGAATTTAACAGTTGTACATACAAACGTTATGTTAGAGTAACTATAATGTATAATAATTATACTTATATATAATAAACTTTATTCATACGGGGATTTTGTCCATACTGCTCATAAAATATATCTAAAAAAATCGATTTAGATGTACATTTTTAAAAAAATTATGGACTAAACCAATATATACTAAATAGCAAGTTAAATTCAACCCTCTGGTGGTGTTTATAATATTATTTTGGTCTTTGACTGTGTATTGGTATCCTTAATTTAGAACTATTTTGCAGTTAAAGAAGCCTGCTTTACACACTAAAAGGTTGCTTAGCAATACTCAACTATTATAAAATTGAATGTATAATCTCAAAACAAATGTTACAAAAATTAAATTAAATTAAAAATTTTAAGTTATGCCTGAGTACAACAAACATTATAAAAAAAAAATATATATATATATGTATACTATATTAATTCAAATGTACTTTAAGAAACATTTGAGTCCAGGGTTAAGTTTCCATCCTTGTCTTTTTTCCGAATTCTACCATCTGGGTATTTAGTTTCTTGTGATCCATCTGGATAAACAATTTTTGTTGTTCCATCTGGAAATATTCGTTTCTAAAAATGCAATAATTATTAGTCATGTGTAAAAGAAAATATATAGAATGTAAATTTTTTAGAAAGTAAATATTTTAAACTACTATTATTTTAACTACATGAAAACTTAGTACTTTTCCAATTTAACATTATATAATTTTTGAATCGATAGACAAAATAAAAATTTGAATTATAATTAATTGTTAAAAAGTATACATTTTTTCTAAATAATTAAGTTAAAAATATACCTTAAATTCGCTAGTATGTATTTCTCTTTGTCCATTTTGTAATACTAATTCACGTTGTCCATTTGGATTAACTGTCAAAACTGAACCATCTAAATAATTCCATACTTCTTTACCATCAGTGTATACAGTGTGCTTTTTCCCATTTACATAATCAATTTCAACTTTGCCGTCATTATAATGCTTTTCAATTTGTCCACTATAGAATCAAAACAAATTTGTGTAAACTATACTTTAAGGAACCTGTTGTCATATAAGAGATTTCAAAGTTGTTAAGCATAGGTTAATTTAACTAATATATGTTTTTTTAAAGATAGAATTATTTGTTTTCATTAGTCAAGAATGCTATTGCTGGAAAGCTCCAAGGAGAGTATTTTTCCCTATCGGATTGATAAGCTGTCTAAATAATAGAAAAACCACATAAAACTCAAGAACACGCCTAAATAAAAATGTTGGTTAATTACTAAAACATAGTTGTAGAGATATTCAATTAATTTTTTTAATCAGACAGCTATAGCATTAAGCAATCTCTGTACAAAAAAAAAAATCAAAAGTTTGAAAGTGATAAAATATACATATATGATAGATATAAGATGTATTATAAAAATAAAACATTCATAAAGAGCTTGTGGCTATTTTTTGGGTGTTCTAATCAATTTTTAAACTGAGGGGTACTTATTTAATTTTTTGAGCTTTTAAAATACCACTTTGTGTAGGATGTTATTTGACCTATTTATTTCCTACATGAAAAAAAAATGCTATCACGGCCTAGATATAAAAATTAAATTAATTAAAATACTACATTGGAAAGCCAATATTTTCTTGAATTTGATGCGGAATCAAATTTAAAATAAGCTAATAATTAGTAGTAAAAATCAATAATACTTTTTATGGAAGTTTTTATACTCAAAAAATCAATTTCTGTATAAACTTTCCGTGGAATAAGTTTTAAATATAAAAATGGAGCAGTCTTTTCTAGTAATAGTTTATAGTTCAGTTTAATAGTCTAGAAAGTAAAGAGGCATAGCTAAATATAATTTCAAACTTACTTGGGGAACTCAATAATTTCAAGGCCATTTTTAAAAGTTGTATGATAAGTTTTGTTTTTTGAAAAGTAATACCGTTCACAATCGTGTCGTGTTTCCTTCACATCACCATTATAATAAATTATCTTTATATTTAGTCCATCTGATGAAATTTTCTTCAAATTCCCATTTGAATATAATATTTCCTTACGGCCATCTTCTAATACTGTTTCCCGAATAATTCCAGAATTATTAGGATTATTATCTTTATCTGAAAAGTCACTGTCATCATTGGTTATTATATTTTCACTAAACTGATTTTCATCAGATGAACATTCTGACGATTCATCATATTCTGTTGATGTAGATGGTTTTCTCAAAATTGATGCTGGAACTTTTTTTAACGTAGGGTCAACCATTGATAAAACCATATCTGGAGTAAGTTTACTTAGTTCATTATTAACATTATGAATCATTTTTGTTTTTTTTAAAGCTTGTTTTTCTTGAGTAGTTTTAAAAGTAACCTAAAAAAGAAAAAAGTCATAATCATAATTGGCATCATTTTAACCTACAATATTTTTTTTCAGGTTGATTAGGTTTCGGTTCAGATAGAATTAAAAAATCATTGTTTTGTTGCATCATTTAACAAATTGTAATAATTAGAGTTTCTTTTTTTACGTGTACACAAAAGAACTTGTATTATAAATATTAAAACTTAGTGTCCTTTAAACTACTTGTGAATTCGTATAGATTATGAATTTTACATACATTTTCAAAAATATTTGTAAAACTCATTAATTATACAAGTGAAATACACGTGTAGTTGTATAATTATATAACAAATACTAAAAGTCAATCAATCTTAGCTCTGTTAAAAAACTTTTGGAGTTATTTTTTTCCATAATTTAATATATTCTACAGATTTATAAATTATTTTTTATTATCTATTTATGCACTTACTTTTTTATTCAATGACATCTTTTTTACAACTTCTAATTCACTACGTAGAGCAGTATTTGCATTCTCTAATACTTTAACTTGGTTTCTTAATCGGGCTTGGCCAGTAGACCACCTGGATTCCTTTTTGTTGAATTCTTCTTTTAACTCTGCTAGCTATATAAATGTTTTTATATTTTTAACTAATAATATATGCTAGTTATTAATACATACCTGCTCTTTAAGTATTTTTATTTCTTCTCTTTCCTGTTTATTAGGTTTATTTCTAAGTTCCCTAGCATTTTTTTCAAAATTAGCCTTTTCTTTTGCAAATTTTTTCTTTTCCTCAGCTAACTTGTCTTCATTCACTTTTCGTTCGTCATTATGTTTTTTTATAAGATCATCTTTACTCTTGTAGAATTGTTTTCTTTCAATTTGAAATTCACGTTGCAACTTAGCTAATTTAGCATTTTCAACACGAAATGTTTCAATCTCAGATTCTAACTCCTCCAATCTTTTTGTTAGTAATTCTGTGTTAAAAGATTGTTCTAAATTTGGATTAATTACAGGATTAGTTGAAGTATAATTTTCTAAATATTTTTTTTCATTTTCTGTGAGCTTAGGTTGATTGGATTTTGTAAATGTTTGTTGTCTTTTAATATTCTTTGAAAACATATCCTTTTTGTTTTCTTCTGTTAAATCTAATGGATCACATTCTTGGCTACAATCTGAATATGCATCATCAGAACCTTTAAGTAGTTTATTAGGAGTAGATGTGTTTACTTGGTTAAAGTTAAGAGAACGGGCAGATCTTGTTGATTGCGTTTCCTTATTACAATTTAAATTAACTGCTCCTTCAAGGAGCTGATGCACACTAGGAGAAGATGCATTAAAATTTGATTCATTAGCGCGTTCCTCCAAAATCTCAAATGCTTGTAATTCTTTTTGTTCTCTGATTTTTTCAAAATCATAATTTATAGGTACATTTTTAGGTTCATATCTATTCCAAGAATCAACTTGTTTAACTTTTTCTAAATTTAGACGAGTACTTTCAACAAAGTAATTACCTACAACAATATAAACATTTATATAAAAAAATGTTTTTAAAAAAGCCAGCACAATGCAATGGGCCTAGGGAGACATGGGGCATTTGGAGCTAGATAGGTCACAAGTATTCAGGAATACTGTAAGTTTATATGATAAAAGCATTTTCAAAAAAGTGATTTGATGTGAAACGGGTTTTTAAAAAATCTATAGTGAAACTTTTTTTTTTACTAAGAAAAACCTTAAAAATCTAATAATGTTGTCAGGGTATTAGTGGGGCCAGAACATACTTTGAAATGGGAAGATCAGAGGTCTAAAATAATTATTATAACCTTAAGTTATAAAATAATCAAATATAAAAGCTCCGATGCAAATCTAGAAATAATAGAAACTCAAATATTGATAAAAGCATTGTATTTACAATAATAAGCTTACTATTTAATGTTTCATTGTTGCTGGTATTACCCATACATAGTAATTAACAATAAATAAAATTATATTTTAAATGAAAGTTGTACAAAAAAAAAGTGAAATAAAGAAATATTTTCACCTTTTTAGGGTTAAAGGCTAAATAATAATTTCTTAATTTTTGAATTCTTTCAGCTCCATAATAATGTTAAAAAATATTTTTAAGAAAAATAGTGGACAAACTTACCTTGTTCTATTTTGGGTAATGTTTTCATTTGTTTTAAGCTTTTGAACTCTTTTGATGGAATTATCGGTTTGTTGAATTTTAATTTTCCTTTTTTATTTCTAACTTCTTCTAAATTTAAACCATATCTTGCTAAACCTGCACCTTTTTTTAAGTATGGTTTCTTTTTTTTTTTTTCGGTGTCATAATCATTTATTTGTTTAGACTGGTTTTCTTTTAATACCTTTTCATTTTCATCTATAGACTTTCCTTTACATTGATTAAAATGTTTATTCGGAGACAATATTACTAGATTGTCTCTTGAATTATGCTTCTGTAAAAAAATATATGTTATTTTTTTCATTTAATTAATAAAATAATTTTTTTTTTTTATGTTTACAACTGACACTTACAGGAGAAGAATTAAAATTTTCATTCAAAATGTTTAGATTGTATAATGATTTTTCATCACATTCAGTCTCTGAAATACAATGTTCTTCTTTATGGTTATTTATTTTGTATCCTAGTCTATGCAAAAATTCTTCGTCAATCCCTGAGTATGAAGATACACAATAATCATTATGGTTTTCTAAAAAATTAACAAGTAAAAAAATACAGTAATGTATTTCGTAGAATATTACAGCAATAAAATACAAAAAAAAAAGTTAGGTTGTACTTTTCTACCATTATGACATTCATTTAATTAAACTTATTTAATTAAACTTTTACTCAAAGATTCTTAAAGAATTAACAACTAGGTATTTGGCTTGTTGGATACAAATGTACAATGGATACAAAGTTGTAGAATATATGATCTTAAGGCTTATTTTTTGTGTTCAAAGTTGGTAATTTTTTAAATATTTTAAGATTTTTGTCAGTTTACTGTATAAGACTTAAGCAATACCAATATATACTTATTACGGTAGTAGACCACATTCCCGACAGGCCATTTCCCCGAAATATTTCCCCCCAGACACTCATTTTCCCAAATAAACAACTCCCGACAATTTTATTTATTTTTATTAAGATACTAAAAACGGACCAGTAAAACAATATGTTAAATTACGTTGAAGCAATATTGTGAGCAATAGCTCATAAGTAAGCCAATTTGTCGTTATTTTGTTTGTATTCTTCACATTCGAGGAAAATAATTTGCATTTGATTTTGTAAATTTATCTATTTCTTTGACGACGAATTGCGGACCGGTCGCCCTAGACTAAATTCCACTAGACTGACCTCCGTATTTCCCTGCACTTTTTTGAGCTCCAGCAACGCCGAGTATAAGACCGGATGATGTTGGGCAACAATAACTCTAAAATGGTTGTTCGTCCTCGTGCAGGCCGGCCGCTTACATAGGTCACATTGAAATAGTTGATTATTTTCGCCATTTCATTTGGTGCATTGTCTGACAACAGGTTGAAAACGCGCGTTACATCAGCCACTGGCACAAATGCGAGCGCTAATATCATGTGCGTACTGCGTATACATTTTCAAGTTTCGGGTCTGAATCATTATATCTTAGCTATAAATCTGCATACTGCACTTTCCTAAACACTGATTGCCCTAAATGAAAAAAAAGCACGTTACTGGAACGTCGGGAAATACTTCCAGGCAGGCATTCATGATTCCCAATTCAAAATCGGACATAGTTCCCAGAGGAACACAAACATTGAGTCGGTACTTTTCCACAGCATTTTTGACAGCTCACGTCACAAACTTTCACGCTGCTCCTTTCCCACTAGGAACGCGTACACATAACCATAAGGTAATGGTGTATCTTCTCCATCTACTGATGTTTCACTGACGTAGGCCAATGATCGTAAACAGCTGTGTGAATATAGTTTGACTCACTTTGAATGTTACATCTACAAACCATACAGGACTTCGGCATAACAGCTAAATATTTTTCCGGGTCACAAATACTAACACCCTCGATTCATTGTCGACTTGACAATTATCATACAGTAAAAACTTTTCCCCCTGGAACGTACGCCGAAATTCCAACGGCAAGTTGCGTAAGTCTTTTAACAATTTAGGATTTGGGAAAAGATTATGACGACGCGTGTGACGAATGGTTTTTCGAATTGATTCTCTCCCTGGCAGCCGAGTTAAAACATCTGGAGGTACATCTGCTAATTTGTTACAAAGTAGTTGGGCAGACGGCCTGCTCCGGATGCTCTTCCGCCTTCCGTTTTATGCCTGCCATCACGATCTCGACAAAGCTCTCATCTAGGCGGGTGAGCATGCTACGATTTGATAGGTCCTCTGATGACCATTACTGGGTCTTCATTACGCAGCATTTGTTATTGCCCGTACAGTACATTTGCCAAACCTTACTCTTTGGCAATCCCAATATACACAGGTATTTCGTTGCCATAATTTTTAACATAAATAAAAGCATCAATAATCAATTTTTTTTTTATAATTTGCACCACTGTTTTAATTTTGATTGTTAAACTATTCACTTTCAAGATCAAAATGCAGAGGATATTACTAATTATAATTTTCCATGGTAACTAAATTGCTATGTACGTTATACATAATACGTATACGATATATAGAATTTTGGGCCCCCTCCAAAATAAAATCTTGGATCCACCACTGTGCACTGGCAATAACTAATGTGGCAGCACAGGGAATCATTTTGTGTCGCCAGAAAAAAACATTTTGGGGAAATAGCTTGTCGGGAATGTGTACCAGAACCACTTATGTGTAATAAACTATAATAATTGATTTATTATATAATATAAATAGAAAAGTAACATGTCCAAGCGGCAGTTTGTAGTAACTTGTATAAATGTGGTGGTGTTCATAAAACTCACCTTGAATGCCTTCAGGTACATCAAATGATTGCAATAAATCTTCCATTTCGTTTCTTAACAAATCCATCGTTGGTTCATTCTCTGATTTTTGTTGTTGCATTTCTTGCCAGGCTTTTAATTCTTGAACACACTGCATAACAGTGGACATATTAAAATTCGATCCATGTCCCTTCATCATTTCCATTATATCGCAAGTAGTTGAAACAGTAGTCATAATTATTGTTATTTAATTGTTACTACATGTTTAGTAAAAACGCATACTTTAAAAGTTTAAGTCTTGAATCTTGATATGGGAATTTAAGACTTGTTGCATTTTGTAAATTAAAAAATAAAACAAAAAATTGTTATCAAAGAGTTTTGGCGGCTTAGATAAAAAAATCAGTGTGTCACTAATAGCAAATACTATAAATGACAATACCGGAAGGCTAGGTTTTTTTAGGTGCTCACATTTTTCCTCTAATATTAATTTGTTAGGCTGATATATTTTTTTTTGGGGGGGGGTCTGGAACTTGGCCTTTATTCACTGTTAGGTTTTTGTTGGGGATTATAATATACCAGTAAAACCTAGTTAAACGGGACATTAGGGCGGGCACACATGGGAAACTTCTTGTTGTGCAACTATTTGGTCTTTTTCAACGTATGTGAAGTCCTCAGATACATATAATAAACTTTTAAGCGTATGACATATTCTGACCGGGAGTAGGCCCTATTCGAGACTAGTTCAGTCGCCAGATGGCGCATGACATTTCTGCCATACAGGGTACATGAAGTATATCTGTTCGGTGACTTAACCTGAGGCAAGTAGCACCTAACCTAACGAAGCCACAACCTCCGCGAGTCTAACCCAGAGGCCCCAGATCACAGATGCCGTTGGGGCCTCAGTCCCGGGGCGCAAACCTCAGTCTGCGGGGCCCCCCAACCCGCAGTATGAGTTTCGCTATTCTAAACGCGTTTACCACGATAGGCGGCCCGCACCCGTTGGGCGGATGGTTTTTGTCCTTAGGCGACAGGTCAGACCCCAAACCTTATTGAATTTAGATTTAAATGCATGGGTTCATAAAGTCCATACTACTCGAGGGGCACTTGTGCACAGGCTTAAGGCCACCTGCTAGCCTTGCGGGGCCACGGGAGAGTGGGTTCTAGCCAACATCTCCCGGCCCGCTGTCTCCTCGCCTCCGAAGCTCCTTGGTTTCCAACGCGGCCCTAGCGAACTTCCAGAATTCCTCCCAGATTTTCCTAGTCCGCGCGAACGTCTCCGACACGCACGGCCATAAGTAGCCGTCGGCAGTGCCGCAACTACCGCCGGTGCAGGCGGTGCATCGCACCGCCAGACAAGCCTCCGGGTTATGTTTAAGGGGCCTCATATTTATGAAGACATAACAATTCAAGTCTAAACATTCATTTCTTAAAACAAGGTTTAAACAATTTTTAGTATTCGATTGTGTATTTTTAATGATGACACTTGAATATCTACATTGGCCATTGGATTTAAAATTGATAAATTTTATTTTGTTTACTGTAGCTATCGATATTATGATTATATGACCACTCGATAGCCAAACGTGTGTCGTATAAATAAAGGTTATAAATATTTATATAAAAATTAAATGGAGACCAAACACAGATAACCACCTTATTTGAGAAAAAAAACTATTCCATTTATTTCCATGTATTATCTAATAACAGGAGTGATAAGTTTCCAAAACTATATATATAGATTTATTGTATTATGATACTATCTACGCGCGCCCGCACCCAGCCGCTGCACATCTATTGGACTAAAAAAAAAATTGAATCATTTGAGTTTATTTTATTACTAACAATCTGGGAAAATATATTAAGAAACTTCCATTTAGTATCTAAAAAATTACAGAGCCCAAATACAAATCTTCATGATGCATGTACATTTTTAAAGGAGGCTTCTTCTTCTATTATAAGTTTAAGGGATCATTATAAAGAGCTAGTTGCTTCTGCAAGTGAGCAATGTAATAAGTAAAATATACCAATCCAAAAAACTATTCGTCGCCGTGTATATTCAAAAAAGATTTTTGGTGATGTTGACGGTGATAGAAGACTCGATATTTCTAAAGACAATCTTCGTGTGATGGTTTTTTTACCAGTTATAGATACAGCAATTTTACAACTTCAAGAAAGATTCAAAGGATTATTTGAGGTTACTAAAAGATTTGAATTTCTGGTACCGCATAATATATTATCATTTAGTGAAGAAGATATCACAAAAGCATCTTATGACTTTCAAATATTTTACAAACATGATTTAAGTACTGATATAACAAGGCAAATTCTATCCCTTAAATCTATACTAAAGGATTCATTAAAAAATGTACATTGTATTAAACACCTTTTACAATGTATTTTAGAAAATAATATGGCCTCTATGTACAATGATATTTTTAGTGCATGTATCATATTTATAACATTGCCAGTTACTGTAGCCAATGCAGAAAGATCGTTTTCAAAATTAAAAATCATAAAAAACTACTTAAGAAATTCAATGTCTCAAGACCGCCTGACAAACATAAGTATTTTAAATATTGAACGAGGAAGAACAAAAGAATTGGACATAAACAAAATAATTCAAATATTTGCTACTAAAAAAGCAAGAAAACAAAATTTTCTTAAATAAACCAAAATTGAATTATAATTATTGTTACATACATTTTTTTTTGACATGTTATAACTTATACACATATTTAAATCATAATATTATGTTTCAAGATTTTTTTGTTTTTGTAATAAACTGATTTATACACGTATGTAACAAGTATAAAGGTAATTAAAAAATAAAGTATTCAAGCGTTTAAGTTGAAGCTACCTGCCAATTATAGTTCAGCTCTTATTAAGATTCAGTAAGTATTAAATAGGGTTTAACTTTAGTTTTATAATTGGGGACCCTACAAAACTTTGGGTGAGCATTATAGTAAATAGGGGCCTCTAAAATTAGCCTGCACCGGGGCCTCTATAATGGTAGTTGCGGCACTGGCCGTCGGCCTCGAACGTTCTTTCCAGACTACGCCGTTGATCGGACACTAAAACACAAAGTGGTCCACGGTTTCGCTGGGGGCCCCGCATTAGCACGAGGCACTAGGGGTCAGAGTAAACTGGTGGAGTTTCGCATTGAAATCGCCGTGCCTAGCTGGGCAACGTAGTGATCCATGGTGAGTGGACTGCGGAGTACGAAGCCTCACGTTCAAGTCCGGAAAGAGACTTAAGGTCCATCTACCTTTCATCGACGCCACTGCCACTGCCATACAGGGTACAGTAGTAAGAATGGAAGTCGATCGGCCATTTTTGTGGGATTTACGTGTGTTTATAAAATAATATATAATATATATATCTGTGATTCTGTGCTACCAGCTTAACTTTTAACTGTTGTAAGTAGTGATAGCAGACAACAGTTATAAATATGATAAGGTTCTAATTCCCACAAAGATGGCGGAAAATGGTAACTTCAATTATCTCTATTGGCAGCATAAAAACACAGAACACAAAAAACTATAATATTAAATTGAATGGAAGCTTAATATACAAATTTCTGAACAATAGGCGATGAGAAGAAGTATTGATGAATTAAGATATTTCATAGCATAATTCAGAAATTAAAATAAACTATAATAAAAAAACATAATTTATTTATTTTAATTTACAATTTAAAACAAATATTACATCCACCAAAAACTAACAGAAAAACTAATTGTCTGGGATTCTACTCTGTGCCACCAACCAGCAGGTATAAACAACATTTCCCCTATAATAAAATATAACAAAAATATATTATAAATTAACAAATGTATGATTATAATAGAATGTATCAAAATCATTTTTGTATAATAATAATTTCATCAAACCTTCATGAAGTGTACAATGCTTAGCCTCTGCTAGGGAAAATTTAGGATATTTGCTTAAATCTGGTTTAATTGGATCAACTTGAGCAGTGTTCATTAGTAGTTTTTCTTCATATGGATATAAACATTCGGTCCATTTGGGATCATATAAAATAATATCCTTTGTACCAACAACCTTAATAATGTGGTATGATCATAATTAATAATGAGTTTTATACATAAATACGTAAAAACATGATTTAATGGAGTTTTTTTTATTGAGTGTGCATATTACTTGAGCCAAAAAATTGTTTTTTGGATCATGGTGAGTAGGAGAAATAGTTCCTTTTGGTCCAAACCATGCATTAATATCTGGTTCAGAGTCATCAGATTCTGACAAGTGACAATAATCTGGTATTCTAATATCATCTTTTAATTCTGGAATCTAAAATATTGTTCTTCAAAGGGACAATATTATTTTATGGAAATTCTAATCAACTACTTGATTAAAAAGTTGATGTTGAGCCAGGTAAGTGGTTTTATCCTTGGGATGTAAAACTCTATTGTTAATAAATTCTTCAATAGTTATCAATGTTTGACTCCAATCTTCATCGGCATAAGATGAACCAATTTCAACTGGTACAGTCCTTGATCCTGCCATTCTTAGTATATAATTTAAATCGTTCCATTTATCTAGAGCAGGCCAATGTAGCATGCCACCTATAATAATAATTTTCAAATCAAAAAACATTTCATATTATATTTAATTGTGGAATAATTACCAGTTATTTTAACAGGTAATTTTGGCTTAAAGTAATCTCTAAAAAAGGTTTCTAAAGATGGAATATTGATTATTGGAATCTCTTTGCCTATTTGATGAAGAATGTCATTATTACTTGGACATTTATTGTTAATTACTGCTTGAGGTTCTAAATAATAAAAATTAAATTAACAATTAATTTAATATTTAATATAACTACAAGTAGATAATAATTTATTTAAAATAAACATACCCAACACATTTAAGTTTGTTTGTAAAGCATTACACAAAAATGTTGCTGCTTTAGTTAATTCTTCCCTAAATTCATTTCCCATTAAAAGACCCATATCAATTGCTTTTATTGCTTTTTTGATGACTTCTTCGTCATATGAAGATTGTAATAACAGTTTTGTCTAATTAAAAATGTATTGTTATTAAATTTATATGGGGAAAATTATATGATTTAAAAATAACCAGTTTTTATTTTTAAAACGGTTTATTACCATACAAACAGTTTGATACCATTTAATAGATAAAACACTAGTTTAAGAATTTCAAACTAGTTTTTTTAAAACATTTTGTTTTTACAAACATAATATAAGACAATAACAGTAATATTTACACCAATATTTTCACTACTAACCTTAAATAAACTTGCATGGGAATATAATTTTCGCATACCTTCAGAAACATCAACCCATGAACCTGTATGTAGATATTCCCATATTTTTTCTAAAACATCTTCAATTTTTGATAGAGAAGTTGCTCGGTCATTCAATTCTAATGCTAAAATTCAGATATATTATGCATAAATTATTATTTGGTATTTTGATAAATTAATACTTCAAACAAGTAGGATAGTTGTGTAGTAAGCAGCCCTTACCACACAAAAGATAAAGAAATAAAGAAAAAGAACACTTTTTCTTTTAAATGCTACTTTTAAAATTATTTATTAAACTGATTAACAATAACAAAAAACGTATATTACATTGACATAGCAGGTGAGACACAAAATACGGATAATGACTGACTGAATACTAACAAAGTCAGTGATTCACAAATCACAATACATTGGCAATAACACTGACAAAGTACAAAGGAATCTAGTATTCATTTTAAAGGTTATACATAAGAATATACCGGGAGGTGTGGCACAGTGGACATCTCAGGTGCTGCATGGCACTTGAGGTTAAGCTGTGTTTGTTGCTGCTTGATCCCGGATGGGTGACCACCCGGGATTTTTAGCGGCGACCCACACTATCAACCCCGGATGCATGGCTGAAATGCCATGCAACCCGGCGACCGAACTGGCATAAAGTTAGCCATAGCCACTCCCGGTCAATACGCCATATGCATATATACATAAGAATATCAAGTCAATATGAAATAATTGTGTATCAGAAAAATAGTAAATATAATATAAACTAAGCTTATGAATAAATCATATAAACCAAGCAACCTTAGCTTACTACAGTTGTACCCATTACTTCACGAAGAATAAAGATCATGAGTGTTAATTGTTTTACAATACTTGTCTTTTATTTTCAATGTTTAACGTACCATTATATGATTCACGGAGTAAGAAATCTAAAGAATTATTCAGATTACTGTAGTCAAATTGAGTAGGTAAGGAACAGTTTAAATGCTGTATGATGTAATCAAAATCCATTCTAGAACGTTAAATAATTATAAATACAAATTTTAAACAAGTTAAATATTATGCCGATTTATCAGCATTCAGTACTGATAACCTGGCTGTTATCATAAACGCGACTTAATAGGTTTGTCCGTTTTGTCAAGAAATGTACAGTTTCACAACAAGTGTACACCAAAGCGTTCGTTTTGAAATAGTGTAGAAATACACCATAGAGTAATAATATAACAATACTTGTGGCCTCTTTTTCATAGCTGATGGCTCGTTATCCAAACGTTTATCTCACAGATAAATGAATATATATATACATCAATATATATAATAAACTAGATTGCTAATTAGCGATAAGAATAATCGAAGCCGACGGTCCGCCATTCTGGGGGGATTTATTCTTTTATTATCTATGGGCAAAACTCACGATTATAGATCATAGACCTATAAAGAATTTATATATCTTTATAGGTCTATGTTATAGATACATCTTTAGTCGTGGCAAAAAGTGTACGATGGAAAAAATTGTCTTTATTTACGTATGCAATATGGGGAAAGTGGTGTTATCCCATAGATTACAACAGTCATGATAAAAATCGATTTGATGATAGTCGATAGTTATTGATAATATTTTTCTCTTTAATTTTTAAAGGTAATTTTTCGTTTTCTTCTGTTACATAAAAATGTCAAATTTTAAAATTCCTTGGTTACCAATAACATTAGCTACAGTTCCTAATATTGGTGGTTTTATTGGAGGAATTTATGTACGCAAAAATATAAAAGGATGGTATGAGGTAATCATAGTTATTATTTGTAGTCTGTATATTATTATGATTATTGATATATTAGCATTACGAACTTATTTAAATACTTATATAAAACATAATTTAGACATTAAATCGACCTTCATGGAGACCTCCCAATTACATGTTTGCTCCAGTATGGACTACATTATATACAGGAATGGGATATGCTTCATTTATAGTTTACCGTGATGGTGGAGGATTTCAGGGTAAGCAAAACCATTATTTTATAAATAGTATTTATAATCAATGATAATACAATAAGTTATAAGTTAATTAAAGGTTGTATTGGGTATATTATTTATACAATTTTTGATTTCATCTATATTTACATAATGGCTTAACCTGTAGGTATGATGTAAGGTTTTCGAAACATTAGCAATATAGGTGCAGCCATTAATTTTAGGAATAATTTAAATACAACTAGTTTTGTATTATTACTATTTTATTTATTATAATTAATTAAAGAAACCTACTTTTAATTTCAGGAGCAGCTAAAATACCATTAATACTTTACTCATCGCAGCTCTTGTTGAACTGGGCATGGTCTCCATTATTCTTTCATTTTCATAAGCTAAAATGGGTATGGAATTAAATGTATTAGTTATTACTACTTAAATGTGCAGGCGCATGACGGGTTAAGATAAGGCGGCAGTGTACTAAATAAAAATCGCCAGTTCGAATTTCGGCCTTTGGCGGTTTGTTCCTCCAGACAGGCAACTGTCTGGGAGGAAAAATGGCCACCTGCACATCTCTCTGAGGTCAACTTGTTTGGAAGCGTTAGGTCGGCAACCAGCTATGAGCCCAAAAATGCTAAATCTAAAATGTTTAAGCCCTGAACAGTGAGAATAACAGACGTTAAACATAAGAGAGAGTTATTACTACTTGTATAAAATAAATACTTTATAAATAACATAATTTATTTTTATTTTTAGAGTCTATTTGAAATATGTGCTTTATGGGCAAATGTAGCTGGATGTACTGTGGCATTTTATCAAGTTAATAAAGTAGCAGGCTCATTAATGATACCATATTTAGGATGGTTATCACTAGCTACAGCATTAACTTATTATATTTATAAAAACAATCCAGAGACTCCAAAAGAACCAATAAAAGATTAAATTATCATCAGACTGTCATAATAGTTATATTAACTTTACTGCGTTCCAAAAGAGAACATACCGAGTGGGCGTACGGTTTACGTTCGGCGGCGCGCATCTCCCACCTCGACGTGCTTCATATAATATATATTTTTTATTATTGTTTAATTTTAGTTTTAATTTTTTGGGTTCACGGTTTATTTAAATAAGAAGTCTTAAAGACTTTAAATTTATTTTGAAATATGTGATAACACATTTTTGTCTGATATTTTTAATATTCAAATAGATAATATTATAAAAATAATTTTTGGTTTTTATTTGGTCTAAAATTAAATTGATCTATGAAGTCTAGCTATAAAGATTATAGTAAGCTTGTGTATTAGAAAAAACAAAATGTCTAAAATTAATAGAAATTACATTTTTTGTATAAAAAAAAAAGTTCTTCAATAATTAATAATGATTTGATAGGTATAACTTTTCGTAAATGTACTCGTGACAGCACCAATAGAACTAAGGGCTACTTGCACATTTATTTTTTATCTTTATAGATATTAATAAATTATAATACAATAAATACATTTAAATAAAATCTATGTGGTAGACGCTAGAAATTAGAATATTGCAAAATTTGGCCAAGGAAAATAAGATAAACATAAAAAAATTACTGATAAAAAATGGTTAATGTTCATACTTCACTTTATTTATTCTCAGTAGATACCTACATGATACATGTCTGCAGTCTTTTTATTTTGGCAAATATTTTAAAAACCTAATACCATTTATTTATAATTACATATTTAATTAGTTTCACGTTTAGTCAGAGCATATAGTTCGTTTTCTTCGATATTACTGCTACTTCTGTGTGATAGACTTAGTCTACTTGTATTTTCACTAGTGTCTTCTTCTTCTTCCTCAATAACACTGGCCTGAATCCACTGCTTAATACGTTCTTTTTTAGCTGCTCTATCCACAATTACAGTCTCAATTCCACAATTAGCAAAAGCTAACAAAAAGTGTTTATTTTCTTCCTGGTCTGTTTGATAACTGTATAAAGACGGGCTCAGTTCATCTACATCATCTGAAACTATAAAAATTAATATTTAATTATATAACTTATTGTTTATAATACATAAAATAATTTAACTTGATACCACATTTATTTATATTTTTTAAGTCTATTTCAAATTTCATAAAAAGAATTATGTGTACTGATTGAAAATTACTAAATCGTTTACTAAGAAGACCAGAATTTTAAGTCTTAATTTACTTTATACTAAACAATACCTGAATTAAAAAAATTATCCATAACCAGTTTTCTTTACCACCCAAAATATCGGGACTTGACTTTAACAGCTAACCTTTATTTAAAAAAAAATAGAAGTGTTTACTATTTGTAATATTTTAATGTCTGCATATAAAATAAATTAAGACTTAACTAAAAGGTTTAAGGTTATGAAATCAATTAGGTAATAGAAGATTTTTATTATTGATCTTAAACCAAAAATAGCATCAGCTGGATGCAATCTCAGATACTTACATTTATTTTTATCTAACATATATTTGGAAAGCCATCGCTCATCTATGAAATTGTGCACTTCATCTAAAAAACTTGGTCTCGTTTTTATATTAGGCTGTAGGAACTTGCGAAACATCCTTTGTGCATTTGATGTCAGTAATTTGAATAATTTAGGCCTTCTAAATGGACTCATTATTCCATTGCTTGTCAACCAGTATACATAACCCACAAATCTAGGATCTTCGGAGCTGGCTTTTTGCCATGGTAAACAGCCGGTCAGACATACAAACAGCACTACAGCGAATTGCCACACGTCATGTGAGGTTTCTACCCTATTAAAACAACTCAAATAAAATAAATATGTTATATATACTAGTACAAAGTGCACTCACTTGTATTTATGTTCAGTATCAATAGCTAAAATTTCAGGAGGCATATAAGGAATCCATTCATTCCGACGTGTGACCCAACTGCCATTTTTTCGTGTTTCACCGAAATCGCATAATTTTATCCTCGAAAAATCACTTTTGAAAACCAGTATGTTATCTAGCTTAATATCTCTATGTACCAAATCGCAACTATGAATGTATTGAATTGCAGAAACAAGCTAAAAAACATTATATTTCCATTATTAGTTTACAACACTACTATCTTGTGGTTGTTTATTTATTATGACTACATGTACAAAAAAATAACTAAATCTTTTTTTTTAACATATTTGGTTTATTTATTAATCATTATTTGGAATACAGACGCCAGTAAAGGGAATTCTAAGGTATTTAATCGCTAATACAATGTTTAAATAGTGTTGGAATAGAGTGTTATATAATGTTTGATTGGTGTAAACTATAAACCCAATTTTCTTCTTTTTTTTTTGTAGCATTGTCAGTGGTGTCGAAGTATAGTTTTTTAAGTGTGGCAACATAAAATAATTAAGTACATTCTTATTTCTCACAATGTCTATAATAGAGTCTAGAATATCTTTCACAATCCTCATTTTATATAAAAAGCTGAAACCCTTGACGAATAATTTACATTATAATGGTGAGCCCTTATCCTAAAGTAGTTACTCAGTTTTGCTTATAGGCCCTTAAAAAATTTACAATAGTTTGGAAATTACCACTAACCATAGAGATTACTCATATCAATAAGTCAATATACTTAATAAACTATAAATTACAATATAAGGCAATCAAAACACTATTCTATAAGTTCCAGAAATTAACGTCCTGAGAGGGGATGTAATTAATCAATAACATTTAAATAGGCATTAGAAAACAAGATAAACTTAAAACAAACCTTAAATCTCCCTAAAAAAGTTAGTTGCTACTGCAACTTATAAAATCTCTTATATCAAACTATTATAGCTTATTGCAAACCAGTGGTAAACTCAATTTTTTTAAGCTTAGTTTAATTAGATGTAGTTCAACCTAAGCCAGAAATGGGCTGCGGTCTCTTGCATATAATTATTTCTAACAAGAGATTATGGCCAATAATATAATTTTGGGTTACTCAAAACTAATAGTCCTGTGGACTGGTTTTCCTTTTACCCACTTGTTTTGCAACTGATTTGCTATGTAGTTCTCCAATTCCGTTGTCCGATATGTTGGATGTAAGATCACCTAATGGTGCATACTCTTGAGCAAATACGTAAAAGCTAGCTGTCTGGAAAGCAACGTCAAAAGTAGAAACGATATTGCGGTGAGCACTAAGATGATAGCTGTAATGAAATTCTCGGTAAAAGTCTTTTACAGCTATATAATTCTTTGGAAGTGCCTTTAAAACCATTTCATTGTCAGTACCACGATGTTCAACCAGCAATATTTTTCCAAACCATCCTTCGCCGACTATTTGAACAATATCGAAAGTCTCTATTAAGTCAATCTAAAATATATTTCCATAAAAATGAGATTAAAAAAGTGATAAAGAAATTAATAGTTAAAACCCTTAACCATAAAAACAATGAACTCTCTGCGTATATGTATTTCGGCAGCAATGTTGTCATCTTCAGCGCTAATGGCTAACGGTAGTCTGCTGTTAGCGCTGAAGATACTTTTACATTACCATTTAGTTTCAAAAGTTATTAGCGCTCGGGATAATACTAAAAAAGGTAAATATTTGGTTGTTTTATAATTATGTACAATAATAAAAAAAAACTATAAGATTGTAATTATTTTCCGAGAAATAAAGTCTTATCCTTAATGAATCACACTGTATCGTTGTTAACCGATGATGAAATCAATACCGACACAGGCTGGAGTTCACTATACCGTCAACCCGTAAATAATGTTAATCTGTAGTCTTTATATCAACCCGCTCTCACGGTAACTATGATTTATGATTGGCATTTGTTTTAATACTGGCTTAAATGTTGATTAACTACTGAAATGGTAAAATACAAAAAAAAAAATTAAGAACTATTGTATATTTTATTAGTATTTAGTGCTTATATTACGTTTATACTATTAACTGAGTTTGACAGAAAAAATCTTTTAAAATATGAATTCTCATTTTTGTTGCTAAAAAATGTCGTATTGTAGAATGTTATTTTAGCAAGCGGCGAAGTTCAAAATATAACGAAAAAGCCTGAGGCCAGGTCCAGGGGCCTATTCCAACAGAATTATAAGTCCACTGTCCAATAAACTTATTCTTAGTAGATAATGAAGTATCTTACTATTTATACAAAATTTAGATCAAAAGTAACACGTTGTAATTAAAATATTTATTTACCTAGTTGTAATTACTTAAAAAACTAAACAAATTGTTTAATGATATATGAAGATAATTAACATTAATAAACATTTTTTAGGATAAAATAAACCTGGTAACTTCATTTTCAGGGCGATTACAGAATAATAGAGTTCATTATTTATGAATTTGAAAATTCTAGGGTTTAAACGGATAAATTTGTTAAGCATACCAACGTAAGACAAGGTTGCCACTCTTTTTTAATTTAAAAATTCGCTGCCCTTTGCTGGTTTTCCAGAAAAAATTAAAAAAACGGTTACAGATATATGTATTAAGTTCTCAATTCTAAATTCCACTACTTCCTCCACGCATATGTAAACAAATCAAAATAAATAATTATACTCTATATGTCTGAATAATTTCACTAGTTGCAATATTTTACATATTTAAATTAAAGTTATTCATTCACAATACTATTTCCATTAGTAAGTTCAATATAATATAAAAAACTTAATAAGTAAAAATATAAGTAATGGCATAAATAAAAAATAACTAGAAAAAAAAAGTTTAGAACCAATAGAATTCCTTGTTTTAACTAATAATTCAAAGTCTTCGTTCCTTACTACTAGTAGAATTATTAAATATGGATTAATAAATATATATGGAAAACACATGAGATCAATATTTATCATAGAAACACAAGGGACTTATCTTTAAAAATTAACATTTTGGCATGATTTTTGATAATGGATTTCATTATTTATTTTACTTTTGATTTATTGTTACAAGATGCTTTATTATATAATTTTAGTTAGGCCCATGTACGTTCATTTGGGATAATATCGGGTTCTGGGCTTCTTACATATCACCGCCCCGATAGAACAATGATCTAACTGCAAAATTTGGTAAAATGGGCTAAATGCTTCAATGTGTTTAAACATATTGTCGAACGCATAAGGTAGCAAAACGATTTAACTGTAGTTATAATGATTTACCAAGCATTCCCATTTTATTAAAATTACATCCCATAACATTTTAGTGAAAATAATTTGGATTTTTCGTTCTCCTGTAAAATTTAAATTTTTGCAGTTAAGTCATTGTTCTACTGGGGCGGCGATATGTAGTTTGCTGCTCTTTTTTAGAAATATTGTTTTTTGCTAAATAAAATAAGTTTAAACTTTTAGATTTAATATTATTATAGGTGGCTTTACTAAAAACATTGTTAGATAAGCTATATATTTAGGAAAAACCCTACCTATTTATCAAATACATTTGATGCTTTACTGTACATATTTATTTTATAGTTTTGGTTGATGTAATTATGTACATTTTTTTCCATACGTTTGCCCTAGATCTTTTATACAAATTAATAAGGTTGCCACTTCATAAATTGTATCATGTAAGTATGCATTATGCACATAACTATATATTAAGTAGATAGTATTTAATACACTAGTGAAGAAATGATAGAAAAATGACTTACAAATAAATTGTAATTTTACACTTTATATGCATGTACCTTAATGTAAGCAGTAAATATGCCTTTGCCTTCAAGCTCAGCAGCCTTAATAGAGTATTAATTATAAAATTATAATAACACTATTTTAACATGAACAATCTAAAACTTTTTTTACAAAGTTAAATAAACCTTTATAAAGAAATGTTGTAAACTAGTATGCGTTAGTTTGATATGGCGTTCTTACTTTTTCTAGCTCGAATTCTCGAATTTTTGTTACATTTCCAGCGTTTTTTAGTTTTCTTGACACTCCACCCGATTTTCTTTCAAACACAAATTGATTTTGAGACATGTCTCATAACTTACATTATTTATAATTAAAACAATAACAAAATAAATAATATTTTAAGAGAAAACTATTTAACAACACTTCTTTGGTCTTTATAACGCGTTCGACAACGCTATATATTTATGTCAGCCCTATTTTAAGAACAATTATTTCCCCTCTCTAGTTTAAAAAAGTGAATATTGTACATGTTATCTAAGATTTACGAAGTATAAGAAGGCATTCTAAATGTGGGTACCTATAATATTAAATTATTTGATGTTAATTGCCGCATATAAATTATAATAAGTATTATTAAAGTTTTTTATATTAGTAAAATATCTATATTAATCATTATACATGCATATTTATATATGATACAATGATATCATAACACTAAACCACAGGGCACAGACTAAAGTAACTAAATATCATCGAACTAGTCCATATAATTTGTAGATAAATATTGCCTAAAAAAGAGAGTATTGTCTATACTCTATAGGTAGTGTGATTATTAACAAAAGAGATATTTTTAATATGTTTTTTAATGTAATACAAGTAAAAAATATCAAAATAAAAGTTACAGTATTATAGAGAAAAAAGTACAATGTAAATAACCGTATTATTTTTTAAATTGTAGGCTATTTTCCATTTTTACATAGGTTTGTCAATCCATTAGGTTCGGCTTTTATATTAAACATTAGATAATAAAACAATATGTAGTTAAGGGTTGAAATCCGGAAAGCGTCACAGTCAAAATTAACCTTTTTGTTGTTTTTAAAAAAAAAATAAAATTTCCAAGGAAAAAGGTCTGCTGGAAAAAAAGTCCGGATGACATATCAAAAGTAGGACAAAAGGTCTGAATATAATACATGTCACAAAAAATAAACGATATTTTGAACTTCGATTCTAAACAAGCTACAAAATAAGCTGAAAAAAGTTTTATCGGTGAGCATTTGACATACCAAGGGTGTTTTTACTATTTATGCCTAAGTACATAAAGGAAAATTCAAGATTTAGGCTTACAAAATAAGTATAAAAGTAATTGATATTTTAGCTATTTTTGTAGCATAATCGACGTATTGCCATTTTTGCCGTTAAATCAGGTTAATGGGAATATAAATTATTAAAAAAGTATTCTTTCACAACTATTTAAGTTATAAAACAACTCCCCGGTGCCTAGTATAATATAATCTGTGGATACTGGACCACACTTTGATCATTTCTTACTGTGTTGGGTTATATTTTTTTGGTTTAAACTGTGCTAGATTCTTACAATTTTCGGATTAGTTAAGAAATGTTTGATTGTGGTAAAATCACTTTCAGATTTAATAATTACTTTGACCTTACATTGCTAACTTCTTCTGTACCGATTTATACTGTACTTGGTTTGGACTATGCCGAGTTGAGCTGAGCTAGTTTTTTATTTTATTGTTTGTGTGTTAATCAGTTTTTAAATAATTAAATAAAATTAGGCGTATGCAGTATGCACTGATGCTCGTCATATCAATAGTATTAAGATTTTACCTATTTTACATATTTTTGTTCCACTGTATCGATCGATGGTACAATGGTAAACAAAGTAAATTTTACATACAAGAGATAATCGTGAAATAAAAGTTAGAAGTATATAATTATAGTTTTAAAAGGAAGGCAAATATCAAATACTTATGGGATGAACGCCAACAGCCATTAAAGATAAAACTAAGATTAGCAGCAGCTAATAGATGCTATTTTAGATTAATAAGGGCTAATTTATAAATATATATATATATATATATATTTATTCATTTTTTTAATATATACAAGCTATAATGTGTGTTTAATTTACAGTGTACATTTTATACAAAACATTTGCGTAATAATATCATAACATATATTATACATTTAGCATAAAAACTATAAGTAAGTTAAAAAGTCCTAATAAATAATAGAAAATAATTCAATAAGAATTTATTGGTAAACATATAAATAATAACTGAATTCATAAAAATTTACAACCTACTTAAAGCTTAAAAGCTAAAATTATAAAACATGGAATATGCTTTAGCCTGCTCGCTCCTGAATAGTGATTATTTCTGATCTATAATCTCCTTGCGATTTATGACGATAGTATGGTCTTAATTGTATGTTCTGGCCAAAACGTTTGCATGACGACGACGACTCGTTATAACTTATATTATACGTTTTAAGTAGACGTGTTACTTTCGTGTCATTTTCGAGCCTAGAGGCCAAGGCTAAAGCATGTTCTATGCAAATAAAAATAAATCAACGACTGCCATAATCTGTAAAAATTTGCATAATAAAAAAAATGTGTACCCACAAAAAACTGCAAATAACATAAATTTAATATGCAGAACAAATACATTTTATTTGCTTCGCAACAAATTCTGGAGTATTCGCTCCCAAACACTAGTCAGATAGGAATGAATTTTGACCCTTGTAATGTATTTACATTATTTACACATCTTGAGCTTACTTCCACTTAAATAGATTGATTGGTGTGCCAACGCTTCGGATGATAGAGATTATACTAATTATTTGTCTTAGTCCAAACCTGAAATTTGGTCTTAAGCACCAGGACAACCCCTGTATATTAGTACATTGATTTTGTATTAAATATTTTATGTATATTTATATATAACATTTTTAAAGTGTTTTTTTTAATTTTGAAATGGAAAGTGTGAACTTTAATAATTTTTGTTCCAATAAAGTAGCTTGCATGTACGAATTCTGATTTGTAGACTTTTAACATAAATATCCCGGTCTGTTTAGGAGATACTGTGGGTAAAGACATAAAATAAAAACACATAATTTAAAAACAATACCTTCTCAGATCCAAATTGAAGCTAATACACATTTGTCATTATGTACATATAAACATCTTATAGGAACTTTTTATATTAATTCAATAATAATACATATTAAAAGATATAAACAACTCACATTATAAAAATATTATTTGAAAACAGCGAAAAATATTGCAACTTTGCTAAATTATAATAAGATTAATATGTTAAATATTATAACAAAAAAATAAAAGAGATCAACCATCATAAAATTTTATAAAATGTTAATTTTCAACTTTTACATCTTCAATAACATTTTTATTCCCATCATTTTGATTCTTTGATGTCACAGCCAATTTAATGTTATTCTTATTATCTTTTTCGCAATTCTCGTTATTATCACTTAATATTTTTTTATCTCCAATTGAATCAACATCTCTCTTCTCTCTCGTAATTTCTTTATTTTTATTATTATTTTTAGTTTTGTTATTTTCTTGTAATACTATAGGTAATGGTATCTTATCTTTAATAACATCTTTAATCTTTGTTTTCTTTTCCGTTGAAGACATAATATTTTGCTTTTCTTGTTTTAAATTGGTGGAATTCATTTCTTTAATAGTATTTAACATTTTTTTATCTTTTTCTAATTTTAACCGAGTTTTTTTTAATTCATTTAAGATTTGTTTGGATTCAGCTAAAATTTTTTTACCTTCATTTTCATGACTTTTTAGTTTCTCAAGTATATCTATTTCTGATCGTTTGTTTAGCTCATCTTCTTCTTTTTTTATTGCATCTTTGCTAATTGAATTACCTACATCTATTTTATCAATTACTTTTACATCTGATTTAACGACAGGTTCGACAGGAATAGGTGGCTCAACACGAATTTCTTCTGATGGATTTAGTTTTAATTTTATGCTTGGATGCTGTTCAATATCCTTAGATTTTAATTTGTCAATTTTCAAAGCTAAAGTTGTAATAAAAACAAATAAATGTAGAAAAACATTGATAATTTTAAATAATTAAAAATTAAATTCTACTAACGTTTTTCAATTTCTTTTAGCATTTCTTTAGCTATAGTATCAACAGGAATTACTTCTTTGGCCTTTATAGCCTCATTGACAGCTATTTTAGATACTGATAAAGATTGTTGAATAGCAAAAAGATTAGCAAATGTGCCCATTACCATGATGAAAATACCAGCAAATAAAATTAACTAAAAAAAAAAAATAAATTGTATTATACAATTGTTATAAACAATAAAATTATAAGTTTTTCCCTTACTTTGGCCCAAAACTTCTCTTTGTGTTCTTTGTTAGCAACACGTACTAAAAACATTGAAGGAAACATAACATTTATGATTACTCCAATAGTAGAACCAATTAATCCCAATACTACTTCAATATTGGGCATCAGAAGACCAGTAATCAATGAAAATATTACAATAAAAAATGTAATACACTTGAATGGAGTTTCAGCAATGTGCTGACGTCCACCAGATACAAGTACATAATCCTGGTTAAAACAAAATTATTAAAACTAATGATAGATGATTATATTTTATATAATTTAAAATGTATTTTAATTTCTGATACCTTTGTAGCAATTAACGAGTAAATAGATGATCGACATGGGAAAATAACTAAAGGAAAACTAACAGCAATGGACATAATAAACCCAATTTTTATTACATCGCTTGATAAACACTGAGAAAAACTTGTAAGAATATTTCCTGAAAAATGTTTAAAATTCACTAAATGTTGTTAAATATATAAGCATTACAATTCTAATTAAATATTTGTCAAAATAATATTTAAAATATGAATTAATGTTGCAATATTCATATTATATTAATTTAGTAAATATTAATAAAATAAGTTAGATAACAATCTAAAACCAGTTAAGAAAAACCTTAATGTAAGATTCATGTATCAACTTAAAAAACACATTTTTTTTTCATTGGGGCTTGGACTTTTTCTTTAAAAATTTAGTTTGATTTTAATAAGACATTTTATTATTAAATTGGAATAATAACTTGAACGTATACTTTAAACATGCAATATACATTTGTGTAATCGGTTATCTGGCTACACTGATCTGACATAATATTGATATTATCAATACTACATATTGTTATCAAATTTTAAGCAAATATGATAATAATCATAGACCTTTATAACTCAGTACGTTCAGTATACACTACACGGCAGTTATTGATAATTATTATATGTTGGTTGCAGTTGCCAGTTAATACTAAACAACCAGTAAGTACATGCATACTATGTGTATAAAAAGTAATAAAGTAATTGATGAAAAAAATTAATTATAATTGTAATTGCATAAAAAACTATGAGTTTCAATATATAAACATAATGTATTTGGGTTTGAAACATAAGGTTTTTTAATAAATAAAAACGCCATATAATTGGTTAAAGAAAATCCGCGTTTGTGTTAATTAGGTTTTAAAAATTCATTTATAATACAATATTTCATTAACCTAACCAACTGACAAGTTAAGTAAATGCTCACCACCTTTTTTATTAGTTTCTACATTAATTCTAAATAAATACATTTTTTTTTAAGTTCTAACAAAATAAATGTTTTATAGAAAAAAAATGACTTTTAAAATAATGCCTAAGGAAATCTTAAAACAAATTAAAAGTTTTTTTAATTTTGTTCATACTGGTATTGGTATATACCAGTGTAGTCTTTGTAGTTAGTAGTTGGTGTAGTTGTAGCTATAGTAGTTGTAGTTAGTGTCTTTGGGTTACGCTTATAGATAGATAATGTTATAGTATGCAGGTAAAAGGATTTCATCACAATTTTAACATTTTAAATGATAAAATTCAGAATAACGGCTTAATTATATAAAAATTATAAATACATACTCAATGATTTTTAGTAAACTAAATTTATATTAATTACAGTTTTACTATCACCTATAATATGTTATTTTAGAAAATAAAACATTGTTAAAAATAAAAATAATTTAATTTCAGAAGAATTAGAATACACTTTGTCATAAGGAAAGTAATAAAAATGCCAAAAGTTGACAGAAAAAAACAGGATTTCAATGTAGAGATCAACCAAAATCGTGTAAATTACTTATATCAATTAAGTACAGCTACATCTATGCTATGCCCTGGATTATCTTCAACTTACAACTCTATAATGAAAGGATTATCTCAGAAGAGTTTATTAAAAATAGATTCAAAAATCAAAAGAAATATTTGCAAAGGATGTAATACTATACTTATTCCTGGACAAACAGCTACGTGTCGTAAATTAAAAAAACCTAAACTACTAGTACAATGGTCATGTACATTTTGTGGAATATCTAAGAGATTTGGAACAAAAGAAAATTATTGTACCTGGTCAGCAAATCCAGACTTTTTATTACAAACTATAATCTATAACAAATAAATTTACCTGTTAATGTTTGATCATGATATGCTATGTATCCAAGAATACCAACACTCATATAGACACTTGTACACATATTCATAGAAGAGCGGATTATGCCATTTAACTTTTCAAGAGATTCATGAGAAATTGATTCAAAAATGTCAAATAGTTGTCTAAAAATGAATAATATAACGTAATTACTAGCTAAAAAATCAATTATAGTTCACTTTTATTTGATAAATGTTGTTTTTTGCTTACGTTTGACAAAATAGTGACATTGCAAATATTGGTAAACACTGTAAAAGACCAGAAGGTCTCCAAAAATATAGCTCGGATATCCAAACTGATGAGAAAATTTTGTCAAAAGCCTCAACAAATATCTGAAAGTTAAACAACAATGAGAAAACCACAAAAAAATAATTACAATTAAAATAAACTAAATTCATTTTTTTGAGGCAATTTACCTTTAATACCAAGCAAGCATAAAATATTATTGCAGCTGTACAAATAGTGTTTAAACTATTTACATTTCGCAACAATCCTAGTGGTAAAACTATAAATGCAGCTAAACCTTCAAAAATCAAACCATTATATCTTTATAACATATAATATGTATACCAATTTACCAATCATAATGCTTGGACGAAGAGCCATCGTATTCTTCATGTTGAACATTTCACCAATAATTTGAGGTCCCAAATCTCCCATTACAACAAAAAATGCAATGCAGGTTCCCATGAGAAACATGATAATACTTAGTTCAACAGAGATTTTTCCTAGTTTACCAAACAAATGAAATGCTAGAACAAAATTAACATGTCAATTTATTTAGTTTTTTTTTAAAATGATAGTACAAATTTACCTAAAAACTCAAAATCTCTCGTTCTTGATTTAATAGCCGATTTTAAAAGAAAATAGCACGAAGCTCTCGACATTAAATTGCTTAAGACTAACAGTATAGTTGACAACAAAATTCCACACTAGAAAAATAAATTATAATTTTAATAGATATGATGAAAACTAAAAAATATTAATAGGTAATCTAATAAATATAAAAAATATTTACTTCTTTATAGCAAAATGGCATAGCTAAAATACTGACACCAATAATGCTATTAGCAAGAGTCATAACATAAGCCCTCATCTTGAATCTTCAATAATTATTTCTTATTTATCGGTACATTTTTAAAATACTTACAACTAACATTAAAGATTTCTACAGTATTGTCTTTTTACTTTGATTTACAATCAAAATACAATAAATAACTGTTCATGATAATGTAGGTAATTTTGTACTACATTTTAAAAATATCTTGGGTTAAAAAATAAATTTAAAGAATTATTACAAATATACACTTGGAACAGTTTTTGAAAAAATTGCCAGGTGTAAGTTTACATGCATGAATTAAGAAACAGTAATAGACAAACACGTATATTCGATACGATAACTGATAACAAGAAATATTATTTAGGAAACCCTGAACACCACATCAGCAGCTGCCATGACGAAGTAAATAAATGGTAGGTAAAATTTATAAAGAATTTCTTTATAGGTCTATGGTATGTCGCGACTTGTGATAACCATGTTTTCCGGTTTCCACTTGCGGTTGTGACTCTGTATTACATATGAGAAAAAACTGGCTATCACATTGGAATAATTGATAGCACAAGTTGCTGACATCAGACATACCTATTTTTTTTTTTTGTCATCCCTACAAGTCACTAACTATATTATAGTAAATTACACTTAAATACTCAAAATAGTTATCACAATTCACATATCGTTTGTCGTTGAGACTCGTTCGGTTTTGTAAACTTATCGTATTGAGTGTAGTTTGTGATAGGCTAGTTATTACTGTTATACATTTTATAAAAAATGGAACCAGTTACTCAAAAAGTCACATTTAAAATCACTTTAACATCGGATCCAAAACTGCCATTTAAAGTATTAAACGTATCGGAAGCAGCACCATTTACAGCAGTTTTAAAATATGCAGCTGAGGAGTTTAAAGTATCACCTGAAACTTCTGCCATAATTACCAATGATGGTATTGGTATTAATCCACAACAGACGGCTGGTACTGTCTTTCTCAAACACGGAACAGAACTTCGAATTATTCCAAGGGACAGAGTTGGGACAAATACATGTGCATAATAATTAAAATGGCTAAATATGTGTGATAAATATACATTCTATAAGTAATACAAATATTATTTTATTCTAGTTTATATTATACATCAAAAACGTCTTCAAAATGTATAATTTTTTCTCATAATTCGCCTTGTATTATATTATTCTATCTGTCAAGACATTCTCAATAGGCATCCTGATGTTGTGTTAATCCTATAATAAATATAAAATTAGTAAAAATAATATTTTCTTAAATATTAAAATATAACAATTTACATTTTAATGTCATTTGACCCCTTGATGTCATGTAAAAAATATTTAAATCCAAATTCTTTTAATTTTGGCACTTTAGCACATCGGTATTCTAAATCCTAAAATATAAGAATGTTATTTGGTTTGTATTAGTATTAATTAGCACTCATTAACTAATGAGTTAAAAATAATACTTCTTAAAGGTCACTGATTTCTTAATTCTTACACTTTCCAGTATTTCATGAAATTTTCGACGTTTTATTATTTGTAAAATATATTTCCGACCTTCAGTATATTTTCTAATAAACCTTCCAGAAAACGGAAATGATATCCAATAAGACTCTTGGTTCCTTATTAATAACAATCCACAGTTGACTAGTTCTCTGAAAATGAATAAAAATTTATTGTTAAATGGTTTTAGTATTTTAAGAATGTACACCAACTTTATTATGAAAGGGGTATGCCTATTTTAAAACAATTTCATAATTCATAAGACAAACAATTTTGAGGATATTAATTTCTTAACTAAGAGTGTTTAGTCCAATCAAGCTCCTGCTTAAATTGCGACTGTACATTCTTATTACATTCAAATATTTTGAATGGCAATCGTAATTTATCAAACTATTGAATATTACATTAATATATCTAAAGGCTAAGGTAAATATAAACCACAATAAAATTACTAAGTTGAATTTTTTTTCTCCCATAAGTAAAAATTAATACATTGTAACTAACAAATCTCAAATGTTGAGAAAATTGTTTTTTTCCAATTGTTTATGTATCTTCCTTTTGTCCTTTGATATAACATTTTTCTGTGCTCGTCGCAACCCAAACCACACAAGGAGAAGGCATGGCAATCATTATTACAACACTCTTTCAATTGATGCCATGTTTAATCACTTCCAGGCTGTAACGTGCTTTATAATCCCTAAATACCATATATTGCTCCCTAGCATGATTAAACATTATTTTAGCGAAATCACTATTTTGATAAAAATGTCAGTTACAATGTTATTTGTTTCAATCAATAATTAGTGTTTAATGTGGTATTTAAAATTAAGAATCTCCTTTATGGCTTTATACTCCCATCTATATGTCAGTCCTAGGGATACAATTATTTTCAGTAGTTATTTATTTTTAAATTATTATTTACTAAAGTATTTCTTAACTAATAAGTAATAACCTATTGATTAAGATTGGGATGATCATACTAAACATAGTACTCAATTACATTGCTTATGAAATGTTCATTTGTAAGAACTTAAAATTTAAGAAAACAATTTTTTTTTGTTACTATTGATCTGGTATTATTGAGAAACTTGAAACTTGTAACACTATTTATCATCCTCCATTGTCTGTACTCGAACGTATTTTATAATAAAATTAAGCCACTTAGCAACAATGGTCAACGCCATCAAATTCATTATAGGCTGTCACCCAAATTGTTATTTAGTATACATTAAATATATTTTTAAAATATATATATAATATAATATGAATATTATAATATATTAAACTTTTTTACGTTATCTCATGTAGTTGCAATTTTAATTTTTGTCTTAATGTAATTTTCTCCACTCCAAATGATTTTAAATTCAGTAAAGTATCTTTTAAAAATTTTTTTACACAATGGTTATCAGAATATGTTTTTAATGTGTAACTAGTGTAATCTTCATATAATAATAAGGCTGTTGGATAATCAGTAACACCAATAGTAAACTGTTGTATTTTTCCCAAATTTTGTAATTCATTCTAAAAAGATAACGATAATAATATATAAATACATAATAGTTTTAAATTAAAGATGGCAAACAAGTTCTTACCAGTTGTCTGTTAACCAATGCTTTGTCGTTTATAATATCATAAAGTTGATGAATAAATACAATAGGCGGATACTTATAATTGTTTTTTATAGCAGTAGGTAATACAGATCGTATATACCTTATTGCTGCTTCTGTATCATTAGGCAACTCACTGACTACAATACTACCATCTTCAAGTACTAAAAATAAATTATTTACTAACGTAAGCTACCCTCTGAATCACTTTCATTTGTCAAAAAGAAGAAATGTATAACATTCAGCATTATAGGATAACTCTACAAGGTCCTATAATGCCACATTTTCCCCATGTATAAAATACTATTTTTATTATAATCGTCAGGATAAATTTACTTTACAGCACACCCTTATTTTCGGGATATTTTTGCCAACTTGTAGTATTTTTTGCACTGATTACAAATCTGAAGTCGGAAAAAGGTGGGCTCTTCTAGTTCAAAAGTCATAACTACTTGAAATTTTTCATTGAAAAACACAGCAGTTTGATTAGGGAAAAATTCACAAAAAATCCTATTTTAAAATAAACACTGGAAAAAATATAAGCCTATGACTCCCTACGCCTGCCGGACCCGGATTTGTAATCAGCGTAAAAAACACTAAAAGATCATAAACAGTAAATTTATGTCAAATTGTCATAACTTCAAAAATTATAAATATTTTTTAAATTAATAAAAAGATTCTGAAAGCTGACACTCACCTTCAAATGCTTCAACAAACATTGGATGTTTATTTTAATTGATACAAAACATTTAATTAAATTAGAAACAGGGGTTTAAAGATACATTCAATTTTATACACAAGTGTTTCTAGTCGATTGTAACAAAAAAGACTAACTTGAAGTCATTGTAACTATTTAAAAATCTAAAATTGTATACAATTATTTTAAAGGTATAAGTCAGATATCAAAAAAAAATGTTAAACAAAAAATATTTATAAGATGTTAAGTTATGTCAATTTTAATGAAAAATTAATTTATTATGTGTTAATTTTATTGAGGAAATATGGAACCACTTGGGCTGAAATTTTAAACATCTTTTTTTGAAAAATAAAAACGATTCATGTTAGGGTAGCAAAACATTTTGTTTTCTAGGACAGTAATATAAAATAGATATATATTATATTGTTTAAAAATAAAAAATAAATATTCACCTTCTCTTGATATTGACATTACCAAATTTAAATACTAAATCAATAACTCATAACTATGGTATCTGAACATTAATTATAATAATTAATACTATAATTGTTGTTTTAAGTTAACTAAACTTACTTTTTTTTATAAATTATCATTTTTACTGGGCAGTGGGCAGTTGTTAGTGAAATGATAAGCGATTTTATCATAGAATCATAGGTTTCCAGAAGGGAAACCTAGGCCGGGACTGATAAGTGTCCGACATTTTGTTTTTACCAGCATCGGAGAACTGAATTTATGTTCTGTCAATAATAGGGGTTGCTACAGTTACCACGAAAGTTGCATGCCACGACTTGTAGTTACTCCGACATTGCTTTATCAGTCATTTGCCACGAATATAATCTACTTCGAATATACAATTGCTACGATTAGACGGTTAGTCCGAATTTAACATACTCCGACATCGTAAAGTAATAAAATGAATCATACAACAGTTAACTCGATATTGTGATACCACGAAAGTATTTTACTTGGGTTCAGGGCAGTTCTTCCAAAAAATGATAAGAGATAAGAGTTCTTCCAAAAGATAACACAATTTTTATTTTATCAGCGTGACCAACCCAGAAACACCAAAATATAAAATCACATTCTATCAGTCTGCCAATTCTATCAGAATAAAAGTAACTAAAATATAACTAAAGTTTGTCAGAGTTAACTGTTATCTCTAGAACTAAACGGCAATAATTCAAATGATAAAAAAAATAACCGTGTTAAAATATATTATATTTTCTTAAATAGTACACATTTTTACGATACATTTATAATGACAAAAAACCAACTAGTTCATATGACGACAACGATAATTATTGGTAAATAAAATTTACTTTCGTTTCTTATTAATATTAAATGAATATTTTTATTAGAATTCTTTTTTAATTCATAATTCAAAACTCTTATTTTCACATAATATAAACTTGCAATATTTAATATGAATAACATAATATATTTATCAATTATAGTACCTAGCGACAAAGTTCAGACATACACTATATTGTACTAATTTGTGTGACAATATTATTACATCCTATTTAAATAAAACTATTAATACAAGTAAATTATGTTTTACAGTATGATGGTAGTTGTCTGAAGTCATAAAAAGCTTATCGGTATGCTTATTCATCAGAGCGGTTCGATTCCTGAAACTATCTCTAGTCTGATTAAGTGTGGTAACAGGTATGGAGTTATTTTTTGTAAAATTGTTTTAATTGATTTAATCTCTATTATTTTAATAATTAACATTTCAACTTTTAACTTATTTATTAAAAATATATCTTTCAGTTTTAAGATGAGTCAAAGATTCTGGTTGAACAGTTCTCCATCGACACCAACTGGAAGAAATAATTGTTTTATCATTTGTCTAAATAGATTAGGTATGGAAAACATTCTAGATTTGTAGTATTAATACAAATATTGATACAAAATTAGTTTAATATCAATCTAAAACACCCTAATATAGGGTATTTAAAAAAAAAGAAATCAAATGTAAATTATCTTTCTTTTTAATAATTTAATTTACTATTTTCTAACATTGTTAGTTTTTGTACAAGAAAAATTGCATTTACTTGTAGATCTTACGCTTCATTGGTATGAGATAACAAACTAGGTCCACATGATATATACCGGTCACAAATATAGTCTATTCATGAAATCACTCTTCCAAGTGTTATTGATAGATAATTTAAATTGAATGGTATAAAAAGTTGGAAGTTAAATGGTATAAAAAAATGTCATTATCAATTTTCGTTATATTTAATTTTAACTTCACAATTAACAAACCTTAACATTAGTAATTCATTTAAAATTGGTTTTATATTATAATTATTATTAATATTATTTAACCATTTGTTGTTTTTTCAGCTAGAATGTGACCAGAGGAAGATTAAATGGACATATCATATATTTCTCCATGGACACTGTAATCCATAGACGGATTTTTGACACTATATTTGAATATTTGTTGTTGAAGTTAATTGGATTTTGTGCAAAACCCCTGGAAGAATATTCTGTATCAGACTAACATTATAAAAACCACCCAGTATTTCTGTTTACCTGCTGTTAGACATCGTAGTATCATCTCCAATCTCTTTATATTTTGTTTAATTTTATTTAAAAAAGTCTCATTATAATTTATTATTAATCAACTGTAATTCAGTTGTTTACTTATTGAATAACTTATTATCCTGTCTTCAACGTCCATATAAACTGTACTGTATTTATGACCACTACACTGATATCTCATTTGGCTAAATATTTTTAATTTTCAACTACATTAAAACAAAATTAAGATTGTTTAAATTTTTTTTTTTTTGAATACTTGTATTATTGTTTGAATATTTTTACACTTTAAGTGTCAATACAAGTATCTTTAGTTTAACGATACTAACAGTATATTATTATTACAATTTTGACAAACATAATTATTAGCCTACCAAATAAATTATAAATGTAGCTTCTGTATTTGCTTATATTTACTTACCTTAATAACATTAAAATATTAATTTATTGTAAAAATATCTTGACCTAACTAAAAGATTGAAAATTTGTAAACTGTTGTGAAATTATGTTGATGTTGTTAGGAAAAATTGTGTAGTCAAAATTTTGAATACCTAGATTAAAAAAAAAAAACGGTACAATTTTTTTTTGCTAAACCAAGTAATTATACATTTGTAAATTTTGATGTTTAGTTTATAATATATACATTTTTAGTTAAAAAATATCTTTACTTAAGTATCATTTTATACTATTTATACTTTTTACCAGATTATTTTATGTGTTTTAAACTATTACATTTATTATTTCTATTATTACTATTTATTATTTATTTAAATGACTTATCAAACTTAATGAATTGTACTTTATAAATTATAAAATTGGTCTGAAATGTATACTGTGTTACTTTAGGTAGCCTGATAGACAGGAAGTCTATATTGTTTTTTAGAAATAAAAGTTGTTTTTTCTTGGTTAGCTTAATTATATAGTGTGATTGACTAATTTTCTCTCATAATAATTTCAATTAGGTAAAATTATTTTTCAAAACATTTTTGTTTGTGTTATTTTACAACTGAAAACATGTTTTAATAACCACTTACTTTTTTGATAATTTTTAATTAAATAATATTTAATTATGATAAAAATTCAAAGCGTATTTAGTATATAGTATATATTTGTTTATAATTTTATTATTTAGAAATGCATTAGTTTTTAGATGTAGTTTTTGACACAATAAAGTAAAAGTAAACCAAATGTATTTTTTCTAAATCTGTTCTCATAGACACGTTTACTCTCGATAACGACTGATTTGTATCTGTGTATTGTAATACAAGGGATATTATATAATGCGATTAAACGAAGGATGTTTAACATATTGAATACTCTCTTTGAGTATACAATGATGTGTTCGATATAAATTGTATTATAAAGTCCAGATACCGTTATCTTTATTTATATGCATAGTATAATGTAGTAAATAATTATAGATTCAACATTTAAATAATAAATTAGCTTTAGTAAGTTTAACCCTTAACAATACCTGCTATTATCTAAAAACTATAGATATATATAAATAATGTCTTGATAATAATTGAATAGTTTTATAACATATTCAATATTTTTGATATTTTCATTTTAGTCAGTTATCAATGAATCAAAGTATACAACTATTTTCTTTTTAATAGTAACGCAGTTACATCTTATATGAATCATAATTCATGAAACACAATTTTGTAGCTCTACACAGTTTGACCTCTAAACTTTAAGTTATCCAGATTAAAATAGTTTTGAATATTGAAAACCATATGTTTAGTTTTATTCAAATTCAACTATAAAAACTCGTAAAACCATGTAAATATGTTTTAATAACTAAATATTATATTACTTCATTATTTGGGATTTAATGATTTTTCAAATATTTTTGATAGAGACAGTGATAACGATATTGGTTTATAATGGCTACAGTCTAGTAATTATAACTAGAGCCCTAGTAATTATAATTACCGACTGAAATAATAGATAATAACTACTGAACAATTATTTATTTCCTGTTTTGTGTAAAGGAATGAAGACACATTTGTTAAAACTATTGGGGCACTTACCTGAAAATAATGATAAATTAAATACCTACAACTTTTATACTTTTCATTGTTAACTACAATTTAGTAAAGTACAACTGTTTAACAGTATAAAGTTAGAATTATCTTCTACTAGTTTAATCTAGTATTTCTAACCAAAATTATGGGGGTATAAGATATTCCTAACACAATTATACCATTTTTAACTAATGTTAAATAAAAATGGGATTATCTAATCTGTTTTTAAATGTTCACTTAGTTAAAATAGAGTTAACCTGACCGCTTGATATTCAATCTTTTAATTTCTGATTTGACAATTTTATTATATACATATTAGTGGAATTGGAAATAGCCTCATTAGTTTTCACATTAAATATGTCCATAGCTACGTTTATATCATTTAAATTTTCACAACTTCACCAGTCTTAAGTAAATATTAACATACTTAAATCAGTCTTATTATAACTTATTAAACTTTTTGTGGGCAAAAAGAGCTTTAACAGCAGATCTCGATGAGAACGAGATAAGAGATAAATAAATATGATGAGATGCTGCAACTTGCAATTGTATCTATTTATTTTATAATATGTATTATTTCTATTTTTTTTATAATATAAGTAAAGTATACATTTCTTAATAAATGGAATGTAGACAGAATTAATAACAGAAAAGTTATAATATCACTTCTATAAGAAACAAATCTAATGACTTGGTTATCGCTAAGTAAATGGCCATATTAAATGAATAAGTACATAGATTAATAAAATATGGGCTATGCAATCTTCTAACAAACAAGGACATTTTCAAATCAAGAGATAATTGTAAATTTGCAAATTTATATTGACCAAAAATTGTATCATATTTTTAAATCATATGAATAACTATTTCAGAACAAATTCATATTGTTTAGTATGGTTTATATAATAAAAATATATACCCAGAGTAGCTTAATATAATCTAATTTCTGTAAAATATTAAGTGATTAATAATAATTTTTTTAAAAACCTACTAATTGATTATAAATAACATTCAGTCTTGCAAGGTATTTTAATACCGATCAGTCTGATTTGATAATCTTACCAACATAAAAGCAAGTTTTTATTAAATTACATTATATATTTATTGAGTATGACGTTTATACGATTACGACCCTAGTTTGATCATTTTTATTAATACAACAGAATTGTTAAATCTAGTTTACAGTAATTTTATATTATGCCATATTCGTATTATCTACCTATTATCCCATGCAAAAGGGCCGTACAACAATTTTTTTCTCTTCACGAGTCTTTATCTGGCAAAAGGTTCACTTTGGACTATAACCTTATAATGTATATATTGATTTATGTGGAAACTTGAAAATTAAATATGTTTTGTTCTAGTTATTCATGTAAGGTATTTAAACTACAAGTGTCATATGTTCCGTTATCCTTGCTCTAATATATCCTTTAGGTACCAAATTTTGTTAATAATATATCTTCTAAGAGACAAGATTGAAGACAAAGCTTATAAGCTCCTACCTGTATTCTTTAACTACAGAATACATATGTAAGATGTGGTAAAACTAATTTATACTTGACAGCCAAATTCTGAAATCGTCAACTAATTTAGGTAAAAAGTAAAAATAATGTTTTATTTAAATAGTAATATAAACAATTTGAGGGAAATTTCAATAAAATTATTATTATTTTATACCAAATAATATTAAATTATAACATGTACTTATATGATAGGTATATACACTTATACAATGTAATGTTAGATTTACTTATGGAATTTTACGTGTATAGTGTATACGATTTAATTAGATAATTGATAAAGATCTAACTACAATTTGCAATAAAGATAAGAACCTAACTAAAGGCAATGTTTTTGATATTAAAATACGAAATTTCTCTTGGCGGGTTTTTGGTAAAATCGATGTTGGTACTATCTGTAGTATTACACATTTTATAGGTTATGTAACATTTATTTCTTATCACGCGTTATCATTTGTTGGAAGAACTACCCCCAATTCCCCGCTTTAGAGTGTCATTTGTAACAAACCATGGAGCATCGGTGATTAAACGCATACAAATATTTTGGAAAGCCTGAATATTTTTTATAATTGAGGATTTCGCTGACCCCCAGTAATTTATAGGTTAAATAATATATTTAAAATTTTGACTTATTGCGTTCGAAAAATATCATGAATATTTGTAATATTGGACAATAATTTCATGCAACGATAACCAACATTTTGTTTTGCTAACGAAATGTTTTATCAGCCTTAGGTGTTTTTTAAATACACTGTTGATATTTGCCAAATAACATTGCCATTTGCGTCATACTTTAGTTACTCAGTTTCTATATAGTTCGAAAAACATTTGTTAAATAATGTATATGATATTTATTGAATATTTTTTTGATACACAAGATTCCATAATATATTATATTAGTAATTGTTAATGTATTAAGAGGAAAACTAACAATTAGTATAATTTCAGAAAAAAACGTGTCTTATCCTTAATGAATCATCCGTATTCAACATTAAACATATATTTAATATATCTATATATTAATACATATTTATATAATATTTTGATGGAACATTGTATTGTCATCCAAAATTAGTGTCTGGGTTAAATTTCAGCCTTCTATGATATCAGAAAGTGGGTTAAATTCATTTTGGAAGATTTAAAAAAATATACAATTTTAGTGAAATGACCCCCACATGTGACACCCTGTGTAGGGCGACCTGTATGTCCGAGTCCCAATATAATTACGGGATATGGTATTGTCATCCAAGATGAGTGCCTGTGCCAAGTTTCACCCCTCTACGACATCGGGAAGTGGGTTAAATTAATTAATTTTGCAAGATTTGAAAATACTAGAACAAACGTACGTACGTGTTAGCGAGTTAAAGAAAAGCATGTAAATAAAAATTGACCATCACGGTAGACTTAATCATCCCGGAAGTAAATCAAAAACTAGTTAATTTAATGTTCGATTTAATCAAATTAAATTAAAACATTAAATAACATTATTTTAGTCAAGAAAATATTTTAGTCTAAGTTGCTAGAAAACTTTTTTGATCAAAAATTTAACATATACACCTTACATTTTAGCAAATTTTTATCAAACCATTACAACATTTTTATGGACATACTTTTAAGTTTTGACACTCAAGTACCATTTTTAGGTTTTAATTAAATAAAAAATTACATTTTTTTTATTTAAGTTTTTTTAGCTGAGTAAAGTTGAAAACTGATATTAAACTCGCAATTACCGACCCCAAAAACATAATTTGACCACTTTTGAACTCTTTTACACAAAAATCCAGAAAAATGTTTTAGCTTCGATGTGGTTAGCGTTGC